CTTTATGTGTCTGTCTCAAGCCAGGAGCCTGCCATTTAGTGATTGGCGTTTATTCATGTCTGTCATATTTGTTTATGTTTTTCGCAATTTGTATTTTTGTAAATTATGCCATTGGTGTTCTCGTTTGAATTGTTTCACATCAGGACTTTTATATCTGAGTATAAGGTATGGGTTTTCTCGTTGTTGTAAACTATATCTTCGTCAATATTGAACTCTGGTTGATATTTGTCTCATTGGCAATCATACCCCATCTCCTTATTTTCACAAAGTTGGTCGTAATGTAAATGTTTTGATCCACCATCTCCAGGCCTTTTGTCAATCGATAAAATAAAAATTAATATGCTGGCACTATTTGAAAGACATGTATGTTTTGTATACTGAAACCCAAATTATGTTTATCACCAAGGCTGAACAACCAACTATTATAGTAGAAACTAACAGTAAAGCATGATAAATATCACGATGGTACTCTACATGGTAATTTGATTCTTCTTAGTATTATATGTGTGTAACTCTGAAATATAACTCGGTGTATTTATTGTTGTGAAACAACATACCCACAGTTTGCATTCTTGTAATATTGAAATGCATGTTTTGAATGTTTCATATTTTGTCATTTTGGGGCCTTTTATAGCTAATTATTTGGTATGGGTTTTGCTCATTGTTGAAGGCCGTACGATGATAGTTGCTTACATCTCCGTCATTTGGCTTCTGGTGGAGAGTTGTCTCACTGGCAATCATCTTATTTGTATGTTGGTGTGTATGTTAGCCTCCGTTAAATTTATTCACACCTTATTTCAGATTCAGAGCTTGACATTGTGTAGAAACTTTTTTTTCAATACCTTATGTTAACCTATAGATGTCGTTTCAAGTTGTGTCAAGATTACGTATACTAATGTACATCTTTTTCTTCCTAAAATACGGCTTGCCAATTCACCAATGTTTATAATGGTTTCAATATTTTATGTTGAATTATCGATGAGTTGTACTTATGATAGAAACAGCATGACGATTCCATTGAGTGGATTGGGTTGACAATGTAGAAGTTATGCTCACCACTGCAGATAGATAAAGCAAAACCCACTTGAGCTGTACGGTATGTAGATGAATTTCATTAACCTACATTATTGAAAGTTGTTGCACCAATAAAAGCAGATATTACAGTCTTAATGTTTAGTACATCAGAGGCACACAAGAGCCTGATTCGCGCATCTGGTAAAAGAATTTAATTTGGATATTGATGTTTACCTATACTGCAATCAGTTATATTTGCTAATTTGTAAATCTTATTTAGTGATAGTTAAGTATACTTTGTATTGATGGTCATTTTAACTGTTTACAGTTTATATCTATCTATCAAAGTTTTGGTCATGTTGACATATTTGTGGATCACATTATGCGTTTTATAATTTACCCTCTATCTAATATAGCCTTTTAACAAAACTGCAAAAAAAGAGAAGGATTAAGATCCTCATTCACTGGAAATAACTTCAGTTGACAATTTTGGCTGTGTTGACTTATTGTAAATCTTATCATGCGAACCATGTTGCTATTCATTATTTCTCTCCATTTTTGATATTTTCTGCAAAATCACAAAAATAGGCAAAAATCTTCCTTAAAGGGTAATAACTCTTCTATGTGGTCAAATGACAATTTAAATGGGTAAAAATGGTTATTCAGGGACAACAACTCCGTTATGAGTCAGTTGACAATTTTGACTTATCATTTGTAAAAGTTATTGTGCTGAACATTTATGATTAATACAATTTCTCTCGATCTAATATGGTTTTTGCAACAAAAAATGTATAAAAATAGGTTAAAGACGTCTCTCAATAAAAATTACTCATATAAGGAATCAATACACGATTTGACCTTTTTGCTATTTTAAAGTTTCTCTCTGTTCTGGTTACTGCAAAAATGGTAAACCTCATCTTCAAGGGCAAGGCAATAACTCCTATAAGAGTTATATTGACGTTTTTGTCATGTTGGCTAATTGGTAGATCTAATTATGCTGAACATTTTTGCTTTTACAATTTTTCTATATCTATTTTAGAGTCTGCAAAAATGGGGAAAAAAGTTCACACATCGCTTTGAAGGGAAATAACTCCTATAAGGGGATGATTGATGATTTTGTCTATGTTTGACTTATTTGTAGATCTTATTGCTCTGGTAATTTTTACTAGTTAAAATTGTTCCCTCTTATATAGATTTTAAGATAATAACCAAAAACTTCAAAATTTTAAAGAACATGACATTTCAGGGGAAATAACTCCAAAATGGATTGTCCCTTATTTTTCAAATTTCATGCAAGATCGACCTTGACCTGCTGATCATTTTTACCCTGTCATTTTTGCTCTAACTGTTGAACTGCCACTGGAAAATGAGGTTATATTGGATAGGGACAAAAATTTAGCCTTGCAGCATGCCATCTGACTCCTCAAAGCATTTCTGTCTTTACATGCAGACAGTGGCTTTCTCTCTACACAAGGCATCGAATAAAACCTCCTCATTGTGATCGCATGTGGCCATGTACTTAAACATTCTGCATGAACCAATGCCACACTTTGGCAAGGGTTTTACTACCAGTAGGAAGAAGACAAAAAAGTAACTAAATCTTTATTCCCCCAGTCACCCTTAGGTTTATTATGTACTTACTGACTATAAACCTTTAACCTTCAGTATGGGTTACAGGTACCTATTTTTTACCTATTACAGGAAACATTTTTCTTTCTGAATGGTGTTCCTTTTTAGAATGAGATTGCATTCCTATTTTGATGGAGGGATATCAAATAGATTTTAAGGACACATAATTATACATCTCTTTCTTTTCCTACTTCATGTGTCATTTTCCACTACCAAAGCATTGTCTATCATTTTAAATATTGGAGATAAATACACATAAATGCCAGGTAGCAATACAGACTTCTACAACTGTTGATCAGTATTGATATTTCAAACAGGTCTAGGAAAATGACTTAAAATGTATAGGTAACTTATACTTGCAAATCAACCTAACCAGGTCTTTGATTGTTTCTGTTAAATTTTTCACAACTTTTAAAGACTTAGGACGATTTCGAGACTGACCAATTGTACATAAATCTTCTTCTGTTGAACACAGTAAGTTGCCCTCTATATGTCTTGTGATTGTTTTTGCTGTTGGGTTTATGACTCATGATATACACCTCGCATCTCCTTTTATTCATATTTTACCTATGGAAGCTAACTTGATTCAAGTTACTCTAATGGCAAAAGATTTATAGCATAGTCTATAACTCTATTTATCTGAATCTTTGGCTTGAGAAGAAATAGAATTCATTTGTTGACAATGTAATTGAAACAATCTTTGTGACCATAGTATTGTTTTTTTTGGGGTTTAAAAAACAAATATTGCCCTGCTTTTCGCATCTTCAAACATATGATACTGGGATTGTCTGTCATATACAGTTATCTCATCACTTAACTGGTCATTGGTTGTCTTTCTTTCCAATTCCACTGCATTTTGATATATAAGGTGTTGACTGCAGATCAGAGATTAAGTGCTTGACACATACCAGAAAATTTCTTTTATCATCTCATTTGAAGTGGTGAAATTTGTTTTGTGTTCTCCTTCACCAGATCAAATTGAGAGAAATAAGGCAACATCCTACTCCCCTTTCCTCCCAAAGAAAAAGATACAAAACCTGAATCAAAACAATACATGCTGTACAGCTACTCTGTTTTATATTAATGTGAAATTGGATTTCTAACTAACAAACATTAGTAAGGTAAAGACCCAAAATATCTTGTACACATACAAGCCAGGAGACATAATTCCCTATAAAACACTGAATGATTGTTTGCTGATTAAAATTCTAGCTTCCTTTGAAACGCCGTGTAAAAGGGTGAATTTAGTGTTTGTATACATATGTTTCAAAATTGTACATGCATACTAAAATGTCTTTATATCAATATTTTGTTTTTAAAATACTGTTGTACAAAATGTATTACAGCAATAACAACAATGCACATGTTGTGTTGCTAGGGATACCTCCACAATTAATTCAAAATATTGGAAAACAGGAAGTATGTGTCTAACAGATCTGAAAAGAGCTACTGCCAAGCTGCTAGCAAAATATGTAGTCATTCTGTTTAGTGGTACTGGAGAAACTAGTGAAAATTTAATTCAGCACATTGAAAATTCAAAGGGTCAACAAGCAGGAAGAAGATGTCTGACAGATTTAAAGCGGAAAGAAGGTGTCCGACAGATTTAAAATTTGTTCACACATTACAACTAATAATTATCAATTATGGATTTTTGACGAGGTCAATATGTTATATATGGACCTGCTCAGATTATATTGACCGAGGACGAAGTCCAAGGTTCATTATAATCCAACATGTCCATATATAACATATTGACTGAGTGAAAGTCCTTAATTTATATATTACATATGTCCAGTAAATAGTGAATTATGGAAATGGACCTCAATGTTCTTTCTGTGTATTTTACATTGTATTTTGCAAGATTTTTAATATTGACCATCAATATATATTATATATAAATAGAAAAATAGCATTTTGCAAGATTTTTAATATTGACCATCAATATATATTATATATAAATAGAAACATAGCATTTTGCAAGATTTTTAATATTGACCGTCAATATATATATAAATAGAAACATAGAGCTTTGCAAGATTTTTAATATTGACCATCAATATATATATATATACAAATAGAAAGATCGAGTCCATATACTTTATATCCTTTGAATCACGTGAACATAATAACCAATGAAAAAAGTAAAATGCTACACCATATGTAATATGTCAAGATATTGACCAAATATGAAGACATACTGTTCCTCAGTACCTGTGATAAGTTAGACAAAATTTTTGTTTTGGAGTTTGGACCTATGGATGAACAGACAAACAGATGAAGGATGTACACATGGACAAGGTCAATGCAATATAGTCCCCACTCTTAGATTGGAACCTGTGGGATATAATAATAATATGCTTACAGAAATATTTTATTTAAGGAAGAAATCAAATAATACAGAATTTCATGCTCACAAATATAACATAGAAAAAACAAGCATGTGTCCATAGTACACAGATGCCCCACTTGCACTACCATTTTCTATGCTTAGTGGACCGTGAAATTGGGGTCAAAACTCTAATTTGACATTAAAATTAGAAAGATCATATCATAGGGAACATGTGTACTAAGTTTCAAGTTGATTGGACTTCAACTTCATCAAAAACTACCTTGACCAAAAACTTTAACTTGAAGTGGAACAGAGGGACGAACGAACGCACAGACCGAAAAACATAATGCCCCTCTACTATCGTAGCTTGGGCATAATAATAATTATCCGTAACTGTATATTGAAAGAATTTTAATATGTTAATTTTCATGCTTATTTCTTCATATCTTTTGTTTCCAGTCTTCATAAAAATCTTTTGTTACTCTTTCTATTCACAAATGTAGGTATATTCATTCACATGTATTCACTTTTAGCTACTTTGGTGTTATGATGTCATACCCTGATTATAACACTACTTGCATGACTTGAATCATTTCAGAAATTTTCATCTTTAATTAATTATGCACATCAATTATATGAGAATTTTTGTGTAGTCCCTTCCTTTAAACTTATGATCATAATAATATTTTGGGAGGAAACTTTGTAAGTTGTTTTATTTTCAAAACCAACTTTACTAATCATAAAATCCACAAATATTTAATAACAAACACCGGTAATTGCTTTAACATGAGTAAGTTTCAAATGAAAGTTAGTAATTGTAAAAAAATAATTAGATATTTTACTTGCTGTGCCTGTTATTAAATGATACTAACAAATCGATATGAATTTTATGAGAACAGAAAAAAACACTAAACTATGGAATTCATGGATTTTTTCACTACGTTACAATTTGATAATTAGATTTCCAACAGAATTAGAAAATTCATAGCTAAATATAATACCACATGAACGAGTCAGTAGTATGCATTTATAATTTGCAATTCTAAGAATAGGATCAATAATATCAATTTAATTCATTTGAAATCCTTATAAATGTCATTCATTTGAAACTCACAATTATAGATAATAGTTTTACTGAAGAATGTCTATGGCATCAGTTTTACTGAAGAATATCTATGGCATCATCCATTTTAGTATAAATCCACTGATCATTTTCACACATCTCGTCAGCAGTTGAAGAATTTTTTAGGATCCAAGGATTGTACTCATTTTGCTCTTGCTTGCTAGATTCTTGAAGGAGCCACTGGTCATTACCTATCTGGCTATGAAAGGTCATAACCTTGTCCCACGATGCACTAACTGTGAAAGGCGTAGTTGACTCAGGAAGGACATTGGAAGAATCTTTTTTAATCCATACTTTTTCTTCCAGTTCGATAGGTTTAGCTTTCCAATCTTCAAGGTTGCGTTGTTGTTTACTTCTTGATTTTAACCACATGTTTGATTGTTCATCATTAGATGGTTTTCTGAACTGTTGAAACATACAAGTGTTGACTGGTGTGGTTGGGGCAATATTCTTACCACCATTTATTAACCACTGACTGGAATCGGTGCTGGGAAATGCATTGTTTGTGTAAAAACAGTGGGATGTGGCAACACAGTGATCTGGTCCTTGGCAAGGTTCATTGGCTTTGCAAACTTCCATCTGACGATTATCACTACAGGATGTTGACTTTATCCAGACCTTATCATTCAGGTAGTCACAGATGTTCTCAATTTCAAGAGGGCCTGTCTTTCCACATTTCTCTTCACAGCTTGATTTGGCATTCTGAAAGAAGAACAATCATTTCTAAATAAAATTTCAATAATATAGCAATATTTCAATTGCATTGTATAGAGTTTACAACTTTTCATTGATCAAAAGAGTTAAGTCTTGATTACTTAAATTTGTGTATTACCCCATTTACCATCCCTGATAAACATAGTTTTTGAATGTAAATAAAATGCTCCGCAGGGCGCAGCTTGATACGACCGCAGAGGTCGAACCCTGAACAGTTGGGGCAAGTATGGACACAACATTCAAGCTTGATACAGCTTTGCATTTGGATTGTGATTAAATATTTGACACAGCATAGGTTTCTGACACAGAATGAATGTGGTCTAAGAACTTAAAAATTTTAAATTGGACATTCACCTATTATGGTCCAATATCCAAAATCTAAATACATGGTTAGATTCCGCATATCAAAGAACCCCAAGAATTCAATTTTTGATGAAATCAAACAAAGTTTAATTTTGGACCCTTTTGACCTCAATGTGGACAAAGTTGATAACGGGGCCCAAAAATTCAAAAATCAAAATACATGGTTAGATTCAACATATCAAAGAACCCCATATATTCAATTTTTGTTGAAATCAAACAAAGTTTAATTTTGGACCCCGATTTGGACCAACTTGAAAACTGGGCCCATAATCAAAAATCTAAATACATGTTTAGATTCAGCATATCAAAGAACCCTAAGAATTCAATTTTTGTTAAAATCAAACTAAGTTTAATTTTGGACCCTTTGGACCTTAATGTAGACCAATTTGAAAACGGAACCAAAAATTAAGAATCTAAATACACCGTTAGATTCGACATATCAAAGAACCCCAATAATTCATTTTTTGATGAAATCAAACAAATTTTAATTTTGGACCCTTTGGACCTCAATGTGGGCCAATTTAAAAACGGGGCCCAAAATCCAAAAACTAAATACATGGTTAGATTCAGCATATTAAAGAACCCCAAGAATTCAAGAATAAAACCCCATTGAAATTGGTCAAGAAATAAGCAATTTATACGAAGTATCTTCTTTTGCACAATACTGTGCAATTAAATATTTCTTGCTATTGCGCAATAGTGTACAATTGACAATTTCTTGCTATTGCGCAATATTGTGCTATTGGATATTTCTTGCAATTGCGCAATACTGTGCAATTGAAGATTTCTTGCTATTGCGCAATACTGTGCAATTGAAGATTTCTTGCTATTGTGCAATACTGTGCAATTGAAAATTTCTTGCTATTGCACAATACTTATTATGTTATAATTTACACATCCTGTTTGGTGTGTATCTCCTACCATATCATTATTATTTGCTTTTAAATATAAATTAGAAATAACCAACTTAAAATGGAAAATTTTAAAAGAAAAAAAAAAGGAAAAAAAAAAAAATCCCCCCCCCCCCAAATTTTTTTAAACCCACTTATGATTCATCACCCCCAAACTCAATCCCAGCCTTCCCTTTGTGGTATGGTACCTTGCAGTACAATTTCAGAGAGATCCTTACACTTGAACACAAGTTATTGCCTGGAAACTAGAAAAATGTGTTTTTTGGCCCCAAATTTCTAAACGTTTAGGGCAATTACCCCCAAACTCAAACCCAGCTTTCCCTTTGTGATATGGAACCTTGTAGTACAATTTCAGAAAGATCCATACACTTACACACAAGTTATTGTCCTGAAACTAGAAAAATGCTTGTTTTTTGCCCCTAATTCCTAAAATATTGAGGCAAATACCCCCATCATCAATCCCAGCCTTCCCTTTATGGTATGGTACCTTGCAGTACAATTTCAGAGAGATCAATACACTTGAACACAAGTTATTGTCTGGAAACTAGAAAAATGCTTATTTTTGGCCCCTTTTTGGCCCCCAATTCCTAAACGTTTTGGCAATTACCCCCATCATCAATCCCAGCCTTCCCTTTATGGTATGGTACCTTGCAGTACAATTTCAGAGAGATCCATACACTTGAACACAAGTTATTGTCTGGAAACTAGAAAAATGCTTGTTTTTGCCCCTTTTTTGGCCCCTAATTCCTAAAATTTTGAGGCAATTACCCCCAAAATCAATCCCAGCATTCCTTTTGTGATATGGAACCTTGTGGTAAAATGTCAGAGAGATCCATACACTAACACACAAGTTATGTCTGGAAGTTACAAAAATGCTTATTTTTGGCCCCTAATTCCTTTACTGTTGGTACCATAACCCCCAAAATCAATCCCAACCTTCCTTTTGTGGTAAAATTTCATAGAGAACCATTCACTTAAACTAAAGTTAGAGCGCGAAAACCAATGTGTCTTCGGACGACTACGACGCCAACGTCATACCAATATACGACCACAAAAATTTTTTTGCGGTCGTATAAAAAGTCAATTGATGAGTGTTGGACTGTTAATTAAGATGATATAAAGTGTAAAGATGGCTATAATCTGACCAATCTGCAGTTATCACCTACCCTCTTCCATTTTTTGCACAGCCAAGTTTCTGTACCACTGTTTTCTAAATGGGATGGTAGTTTGATGGATTTTGGAGCACTAGTTTGAGTTTGACTTTCTGGTTTAAGCCAGGTTTCATGGTCCATATACTTGAGGTCTGGAGCAGAGTTGGAAATTGGGACTGGTGCCTTTCTCTGATACCTGTCAACTCCTATAAAATAATATGCTATAAATGTATTCTTGGTTTAGGTTTAATTTTTCAACTATATTGTATCAATCATAGAAGTAAACACAATTTATTTTGCCTACATGTATTGCTATTCAGGTTTATGATATATCATTTAAACTAACATTTCAACTACATGTAAGTTTTTCGCTAATGTGCCTCTGTATTGACTGAATATTTCACTGCAGCAGTTGTCATGGATACAATCTACTAAATAACTGTTTGATTGTAATTGATTAGATTGCATGGTCACATGATCAAATAATATACAAACAGGAGGTACAATCTGTGTGTAAAGACAATTAATTGGCTTTGTTTGACCTTCAACCTTCAGAAAACAGCTGTTACACTTATAAAAATTTAATATCTGTATATTGCACGACATCAAGATTTTAAATCTAAATAATCAGAGGAAGAAGGAACTGTCATATCATACTACTGATGTAAATAAATTGTATAAGTTTCACTCATTACCCATGAACTCCTTCTTAGAGATGACTTCAAAATCATCCTCATCTTCAATTACTGGATTCTGTTTGATGTCCTTTAACCACATCTGTATATTGACATCAGTATCATCTCTGGCCATCTGCCAGGAACCAGATGAATCAGATGACAATGGAGAAATAGAGTCAGCTGTGGTGGAACCAGTCAGCCATTCCTTGTTAGAAGAACTCATGGCAGGGAATGAGATCGTCTGCTTGTCACTGGTGTTAGATGACACAGGAGCAGTATTGGAGTAAGCCAACCAATCTTTTAATGAAGATGACAAAATCGGGAGGGTGAAAGTTACCTGAAAACAGTTAATTTTATTGCATGTGTAACTAATCAGTATACCATAATAAACCATATTTTTATTCACATTTTTTTTTTGTCTTAAAAGTTAAAAGTAAGTCATCATCAATTTAGTCTGGTTCAGTGGCTTCAACTGTTATAAATATAGCATGTATAGAACATTTTCTATTTTTGTAAATTAAATTTTTTGTTGCTATGTTTAAAAAAACAAACGTTCAGTCATTTTGATACAGTCAGATGTAAATTTTCTGTAATGGTGGATGTAAAAAGAAAAGGAAAGGAAATTGACATTAAGGACCCTTTTCAGTTGAACACAATGACTACTAAAAGTGTATTGACACATACCACAGTACTTTTTGATGATTTGGTTGCACCCTCTACAGTCTTGTACAGAACATGATGGTCAGCATCATCATAGTCCTCAAAATGTGGTGGTAGACTCCTAGCTGGGTATCCTGGCTTCACAAACACAGTATTGGGGGGTCTGTTACTGGATTCTACTCTTCCATAGGATGTAATACTCTCTCTCAACTTAGCTGCATCATACTTAAATGCAATCCATGGGTTCTCATCCGGCTTCAGATCTGTGGAATCACTGAAATTAAAAGGAAACATCTACATGTATACCAATAGAACAAATTGTAACATCTCTTTCAATACATTTACAATCATTTTCTCAAAATCAGAAATTTGAACAAAACTCATAATTTCTACTACCGTAATTGTACAGTATAAACAAAGTGCAATGATAAGTTCTAAGTACTTTGTAAATTTGTGTATCAATTTGTAGGTATGCAAGATTACAAGTAATGTGCACATGGTTACTACCGTAGATGTCTTGTGAAATAACAGCTGTCTGTAAAAAGTTTTATTGTCCTTCACCATAAATACATTTGCACAATTTATCTTACTTTCGTCTCGTCCTGAACATGCACGAAATATTTCCACTGAACATTAAGCAACCAACAATCAATCAATCTTGCTTTCGTAAAGATCAATGAATGTGTATTTATTGTTAGAGATAACTTTAAAGAACAAAAGGTATATTGCAGTAAAATAAATCTCATTTCATTTTGGACTTCTAAGCTAAAACTAAATTAAAGGTTGCCTTCTTGATTGCTAAGATTTCATTCAGTTTAGAGAGACTTTTGGTACATAGTAAATTGAATCCAATCTAAATAAATAAATAGTTTAAAGAAATTGCATAACTAGCAATCTGTAAATCTATTAAAATTACAAACACTAACATCTATTAATCACTTGGAAAACATGTCTAATTTGATGAAGAAGAATCTTTGAATATTTAAGTTAATACCTGAAAAGTCTCCTATCAAAAGAAATAAAGAAGCATATCAAAGAGAACATATGTTTATAAAACTTTCTATACATATATCGCACATGGTTTTATTTGCAACCATACAACATGTATGGTTGCAAATAAAACCATGTGTGATATGTATAGAAAGTTTTACAAACATATGTTCCATTTGTTAACAAATATGGTTTATACATGTAGGTTCTCTTTGAGATGCTTCTTTATTTCTTTTAATAGACTTTATTTTTTTTAGCAGACTTTTTATCATCATCAAAGTTTCATCACTTGCATGAACCATGAGCATACTAGAAATGTTTTCTGTCATGTCATATTGATAAAGTATTTCTCAAGAAGATAATCAGAGAACCATCAAATCAGAATAATGTCTTATCTTATGGTTCAGGTGACATTTGTTATCTAATTGAAACCAAGATATGGTTTGGTAAAGTTTTAATTATCATCATGTGTGTCAAGTTTGCTCTTATTTGCTTGAGAAAAAAAGTTCCAACAGTTCACAACAAATGTCAAGTGATTACATAAAATCACATTGCCTTCAACCAACTAATAAAAAGATGTATTAACTAATATAAACTTGCTGTATTCGATTAATGTGAAGGAAACTTACAATTTATTTCCCAGACTTTCTGTTAGACAACTCTGTGCCACACCTAACATCTTGTTCAGTCTAGCTTGCTGAATGTGTAAAACTTCATCTTTCATATTTTGTATTAATTCCACTTGATTCAGCAGCCAAACTTCACGGTTTCTCAGAGCTTCTAACTGACGGCTTATACTTGAGTGAATCTCAGATTTTACCTTTGAAAGAAAATACATATCAATTACACACTGTAATATATTTTATGAAACTAAATTTGCAAAAAATCCAGAGGTATGACCTAATATTCAAACACCTAAACAAAAACATTTGATCTTCATTCTTTCTTTGTTGATCATGAAATGTGAAAGAAAAAGGTTCACAAAGATCCTAATTAGATACCATTAAAATCAAAGTATAGTATTATGTATATAAAGTTCAAAAGAAAATCTTTCCAAGTATTTCTTTAAACAGCAATTTGCATTCTTATCTTCAAATGTTAAAGATATTATGAATTTTTACATATTTGTGCATTTATATTCTCTTGGAAAAGTTTGCACTCGCTGGACAACAAAAAGAGGGATAAAAGATCGAAAAAAACAAAAACTATTCAGAAAACGCCAAAATTTTCCAATCATACAAGCACCATCTAACATTTGCAAATTTTGACAATGTTTTACAATCTTACATTTATCATACATTTTTTAAATGACATTGATTATTTAGCTTAACTTTTGAAATTAAAGGTACAATTAATTATAAATAAATTTAAATTAAACAAATAAATAAACCAACCTCAGCAGCATTTCTCTGTAGCTGTTGTTTTATCTGATTTACTTCAGACAGTGCTTGTTCCATTTTCATTATATATTGTTCCTTCTCCATAATATTCTGATCAACTGCAATTTAAATGTTCCTAATGTTTTAATATGTAATAATGTGGTAATAATATTGTATGATTGCCTTCACCCTTAATCTTAAAAGTTGTTTACTTTTATCTTGAAGGACACTATCTATAAAACCAACATGTTCCTGATGTCTGTTAAGTTTAAAGATACAATATGTACATGTACCAGTATACATGTAAACATGTACATGCATTATATAATGTTAATATCCATATGAAGAATACACACAGTCAACACTTTCATTATCTTTTTATACTCCTTTATAAACAAATATGGTTGCCTATAATTGCTTACATCCACTTCATTTGAACATTTGTGGATAGTTGTCTCATTAGCAATCAAACCACATCTCCTTATTTTTATACATTATAAATTTGATAAAACTCTTGGAAGGAATATATACTGCACTATTCAATGGTTCAATATTGTTATGTTACCTTTTATTATAATAATAAAATGTATTATTATCATTCCACATCTCCTTATTCTTATACAAATATGTTAAAAAAATATACCTGATAATAAGTTATACCAAGGAATTGTATAGTAAGAAGGGTTGGAATCTTACTATAATAATCCTTGATTATACCAGTGTTGACCTTTATAAATATTAGTTTGATTAACCTCTGATCAAGTAAAGAAATCCTGTAAATAATTGCATAATATACAGACTACTACATGTATATTAAAAACGTGAATTGTTAACACATGTCAACCACATCTTTGACATCAAGGATAAATGTTTAAATTATAGACCACAACAGATCAAGAGGTCACCTGGGGACATTTAAATGGATTATTATTTTATTTAAGCTATTTATATGTATATGTATTTTAATATATATTATCTAACAATATTTTTTAATCTGAAAGTTAAATGGACAAAACTTTTGAATTTTATCAGACTTTTTATATTACAGGCAGCTGTGCTCGAACAAAATTGAACAAGAATATGTCCATAGTACACAGATGCCCCACTCGCACATTCATTTTCTATGTTCAGTGGACCATGAAATTGGGGTCAAAACTCTAATTTGGCATTAAAATTAGAAAGATCATATCATAGGGAACATGTGTACTAAGTTTCAAGTTGATTTGACTTTTACTTCATCAAAAACTACCTTGACCTAAAACTTTCACCTGAAGCGGGACAAGCGGACGAATGAACGGACACACAGACCAGAAAACATAATGCCCCCACTACTACAGTAGGTGGGGCATAAAAACATAATCATTATTATTATCTGATTATTCAAAAAGAACATAAAAGTGGCACATACATGTACAAGTAGTTAAAAAATGAAGTATTGATTACAACTTTTGTACCATCAATGACAAAATAATTGTAATTTGGTTTTTTATCATTTCATTGTTTAACGGTAGATAAAGAAAAGCTTTACTATGTCCAAGCAGTTGCATATTTTCTAATTTGTCCAAGGGCAATAGCTCAAAAAAAAAATTTCATATATATTTTACAAGAAATATGGACATGAGATTGCTAACAATGTTATTTTTCATATAATTTCTATTTCTTAGGGGAATAACTCCAGTAAAAAATAATTGGTTGGAACTGTTCTAAGACTTTGCTGGTATAAACCTTTGATATAAATTTCATAAAAATCCTACAATAAATTAACCCGACTAATCCAGTCGTTATATTCCGACTCACTATCGATCGCTACATTAACATTACGAGAGGACACTGACCGATAGAGGGCGCTGAATCATTCAAGTTAACAATAAATGAAAGTATAAGAGTGCTCAATAAAAATTACATTTCAAAGGGACATAACTCCTGTAAAAATAAATGATCAGCGTCAATTTTTCTACACTAGCCAGAAATTGTTACAAGTTGCAGCACAAACTAACAAGAGAAAACCTTTTCTTGGACCCTCTGAAATGATTATTTCCTGTATGTTTAAATAGTTATACATGTAACCATTCTTTGGTAATTGTGATGTTGTCAATAAACAAACTACACATATCCTGTACAGACCACAACTTTTATCAGGGTCTTATACATGTCGTAAAGATAGGATAAGGTCCGACATCGATTTTCCGATTGAAAAATATGGATTTAAGTTCAGTCCTATCTTATGTTTGGACTTTTAAACCAAATGAAAGCCATCAAATCGTAGTGGAAAGCAAATTTTTGGCCGAAAGTATTGGGGTGTAATTAATCATAGTATCTATGTTCGTCAAACGCTTTATCAATTGTGAATTTTAAATGATATGAAACCCATATATACAGATCAACAGAGATTGTTTTGGTCCACACGGCATAGTGGCATTCTAAAAACAAACTATAAAACTTTCTTTGAATTGTGTTAATTATTAAATTATTAAAATGCAAACTGAAACATAAATTAAAATAAAATTTTGAAGGTTATATACTAAGAATTTTTTGAGATAGTAGAAAAATATGACAGTGGTCAACACTAGACAACAGACATTGAATATAAATTACAAAGATCATATCACATTCACTACATTCAATTGGGATTGTGCTTTTCACTTCTATTTAGTTTAAACCTATTTTTATATGAAACAATGAACTGTTATATATTCATTTGAGAAAAGAAACAAAAACAATCAAAACCATAAACCCACTATTTATCCAAGCCAATAGTGGATGGATGAAAAATGCAGAATCCATGCTGACTAGTGTTTAAAAAATTATAATTTAACAGTGCTTTTTTATGCATACTAAAAATACACATCGCTTGTTTCCAATAATTTTTAAAAGTGATACATGTCCAAGTCAATATACAGAACAAACATACATTGTTGAGGAAAACAGGACCCATGATACAATAAAATGCTTTGCTGAGCGCAGCCTGATACGACCGCAGAGGTCGAACTCTGAACAGTTGGGGCAAATTTGGACACAATATTCAAGCTTGATACTGTCTGAATTTGGATTGTGATCAAATTTTTTACATAATATAGGTTTCTGACACAAAATAAATGTGGTCAAAGATCTTATAAATCCATTGCGCAATACTGTGCAATTGAAGATTTCTTGTTGAAACTTTTCAAAAATTCAAAATTTTAAAAATTTTGAAAACAAAATATGAATCCCTTAAAAAAATTGGGAAAAAATCCCCCCCCCTTTAACTTTTTGAAACCCCCCTTGGAGCAATAACCCCAAAACTCAATCCCAGCCTTTCCTCTGTAGTATGGAACCTTATAGTACAATTTCAGAGAGATCCATACACTTACACACAAGTTATTGTCTGGAAACTAGAAAAATGCTTGTTTTTGGCCCTTTTTTGGCCCCCAATTCCTATATGTTTGGGGCAATTAACCCCAAACTCAATCCTAGCCTTCCCTTTGTTAATTGGAACCTTGTGTTACAATGTCAGAGAGATACATACACTTACACACAAGTTATTGTCTGGAAACTAGAAAAATGCTTGTTTTTGGCCCCTTTTTGGCCCTTAATTCCTAAACTGTTAGCCCCATAACCCCTAAAATGGATCCCAACCTTCTTCTTGTGGTATTAAACATTGTGGTACAATTTCAGAGCAATCAAAATACTTATACACAAGTTATTATCCTGAAACTAGAAAAATGCTTGTTTTGGGCCCCTTTTTGGGCCCCTAATTCCTAAACGGTTGGGACCATCATCCCCAAAATCAATCCCAACCTTCCTTTAGTGGTATTGAACCTTCTTAAAAAATTTCATAGAGATCCATTCACTTAAACTAAAGTTATTGTCCGGAAACCAATGTGTCTTCGGACGACTACGCAGACGATGACATCATACCATTATACGATCCCAAAAAAATTTTTGCGGTCGTATAAAAAGTGGATCTCCTGTAGTTGGTGATCGCAATACTGGTATACCAGTATTGTGCACAATTCTGGTATAAAAATTGTGTACCAGTGTTGTTACAGTAACTTTTTTTTTAAAAAACAACAATTACATTACTGATATACCAGTATTTTAGTCATTTGTAGATGTATTGTAGACTATACTTTAAGGTGTATGATATGTCCAAGTTGTTTTGAAGTGTATTTTTCAGCAACTTTTTCATTATGTTCATGATGTTTCAGATAGATATGGTTCATTTTTGTAATCATGTTAAAAAATATATGTACAGAAATTAGTTAGAATCAGGATGAATTATATTTTATTCATCATGTTCATATAATATAGATGATATATATTAATAATCTAATAACAATGATTGACATATAAATGACATTGAATACAGAATCATTATACACATGATAAAGTTAGAGCACTATAAACCACAGTTGTTCATTAGAATAGCACTAAATACTAATAATGTATTGTCTGTCTAAATTGTACTAATTAACTAATTACACTGGATACTGTTCAGAAATGTGGGCCATTATGTTGGTGAATATGTTATCTTTACTTGAGCCCCAACGATCTCTCCACATTCTTGTATCTACATGTAGATAGTTTGGAAGAAGGTCAGATGATACTCCTTTCATTTCCTTGAACTTGTATTTAGCCTTGGCCCAGTATGATTCAATTGCTTGAGTATGTACACCAGTTTCAGGGTCAACAAAATTTACTGAATGGTTGACTGTTCCATGTTGCAGTTGAAGTTCTGTTTGGATATTAGAGTAGGCTTTCCACTGGTCAGAATATATGATGGTTCCAGGTTTTACTGCCTTTCTAATGATGGGTAATAGAGTAGCAGCATCTCTCTTCTCTACTAATTCCATGTAAATGATTGCTGGTTTGAAGGATGTATAAGCTAGACCGAATACCCATAAATCTTTCTTTGGTCGTCTACCTCTGTTGTGTTTTGACTTATGGTTGAAGAGACTTTCATCAATTTGAACCACCACTCCAGGTCCATCAAGTTCAATGGGTGTGTTAAGTAGCTTTGTGGAGTAGACATCACGAAGGTACTGAAATATTTGGATGACAGTTTGTTCACCTATATCTACTTGCTTCACTACTGACTTTACTTTACTACTTGACTCCATAAGTACATTGCATACAACCATTTGTTAAGAGTGACCCTAGATTTCTCAAAGAAGGACCCTGTACGAATGGTGCGGTACGTGTGGCGTTTCTGGCATCTTTGGTTGGTGCATCTCCATCCAAAACCATCTGATGTTGTTGGTCTAGCTACTAGCTCCATTGGTTTGGTACAGCATGTACAATTACATGATTCTGCTAGTAGTTTGTGGCCTTTCATGAAGTCAATGACTGCTGTAGGGTCATTATTGAAAATAACATTTGGTGCAAGATCTGCGAAGAAGTTAGCCATATCAAGGTGAGAGGTTAAACATTCAATGAACCACTAAATTCGTTGAGCAGTATTTAAAGAAATAGATAAGCTTGTGTTTTGAAAGTATATAACAAAAAAAGGAATTTTAAGTAAAAAAGTATCAGTATTTATTATCCTTATGTTTATTATTAGTATTTAGTGCTTAACTACATGTACCTACATGTATATGTCTAATCATTCCAATACCTTATAAAATTGTCTAGTCATATGTTAATTTCATAATGTGACACCTTTAATAATAATGCTACATAAAGACAACAACATCGTAGATTACTGCAAGGAAAATCTTTATTATGGTCTACATGTTTCGCCACTTACGGTGGCGTCTTCAGGACAATTTAAACATAGAAAACAAATACTGAAGTACATAAAATGCGGTGCATATGGGGTTACAAAGGTTAACAAGACGTAACGTCACAATTGATTTGACAACTTTAAAATGAAAGTGAAAGTAAAAGTTAATAATGCATTGTCAGTGTCTTTTCCAAAATGGACAACACCTCACAGGACATTCCGTACCATTCCAAAAGGCTTCACTCGGAAAGAGGTACTACTTCCAATTGCGTCGGGAATGTTGTAAGATGTATGGTAGTCGCACATGTAGGGCATGGTGGAAGTTGTGGTGAATTGGTTACATTTTGCGGTTGTGGTACACTATCCATGTTGCAAGTTTATTTCAACAATAATCGTGCGGTTCTGCGGTTCAGTACGTTTTGCGGTGGTCTTCTTTTGATCTTGAGTGGTAGCAGTTCATTTGTTGACTTTCTAGAATAATTCGGCAATCTCGGAAGGGGTCGATATTGTCAATGCGGTGTGGTTGTCAAATACAACGCGGGTTTGGCAAAGGTGGATCGTCTAGATGCAGGGGTTCACAAAAAAATAATAGGTTGCCTCGAGTGAACCAACACCTTCTAACGGTACAGGCTGGTAGAGAGTAATCAGGATGGATACCCGGAGGTATGCTGCGGTTGTCTTAAAACCTCAGGAAAATAATGCTACATAAAGACAACAACATCGTAGATTACTGCAAGGAAAATCTTTATTATGGTCTACATGTTTCGCCACTTACGGTGGCGTCTTCAGGACAATTTAAACATAGAAAACAAATACTGAAGTACATAAAATGCGGTGCATATGGGGTTACAAAGGTTAACAAGACGTAACGTCACAATTGATTTGACAACTTTAAAATGAAAGTGAAAGTAAAAGTTAATAATGCATTGTCAGTGTCTTTTCCAAAATGGACAACACCTCACAGGACATTCCGTACCATTCCAAAAGGCTTCACTCGGAAAGAGGTACTACTTCCAATTGCGTCGGGAATGTTGTAAGATGTATGGTAGTCGCACATGTAGGGCATGGTGGAAGTTGTGGTGAATTGGTTACATTTTGCGGTTGTGGTACACTATCCATGTTGCAAGTTTATTTCAACAATAATCGTGCGGTTCTGCGGTTCAGTACGTTTTGCGGTGGTCTTCTTTTGATCTTGAGTGGTAGCAGTTCATTTGTTGACTTTCTAGAATAATTCGGCAATCTCGGAAGGGGTCGATATTGTCAATGCGGTGTGGTTGTCAAATACAACGCGGGTTTGGCAAAGGTGGATCGTCTAGATGCAGGGGTTCACAAAAAAATAATAGGTTGCCTCGAGTGAACCAACACCTTCTAACGGTACAGGCTGGTAGAGAGTAATCAGGATGGATACCCGGAGGTATGCTGCGGTTGTCTTAAAACCTCAGGAAAATAATGCTACATGAAGACAACAACATCGTAGATTACTGCAAGGAAAATCTTTATTATGGTCTACATGTTTCGCCACTTACGGTGGCGTCTTCAGGACAATTTAAACATAGAAAACAAATACTGAAGTACATAAAATGCGGTGCATTTTCCTGAGGTTTTAAGACAACCGCAGCATACCTCCGGGTATCCATCCTGATTACTCTCTACCAGCCTGTACCGTTAGAAGGTGTTGGTTCACTCGAGGCAACCTATTATTTTTTTGTGAACCCCTGCATCTAGACGATCCACCTTTGCCAAACCCGCGTTGTATTTGACAACCACACCGCATTGACAATATCGACCCCTTCCGAGATTGCCGAATTATTCTAGAAAGTCAACAAATGAACTGCTACCACTCAAGATCAAAAGAAGACCACCGCAAAACGTACTGAACCGCAGAACCGCACGATTATTGTTGAAATAAACTTGCAACATGGATAGTGTACCACAACCGCAAAATGTAACCAATTCACCACAACTTCCACCATGCCCTACATGTGCGACTACCATACATCTTACAACATTCCCGACGCAATTGGAAGTAGTACCTCTTTCCGAGTGAAGCCTTTTGGAATGGTACGGAATGTCCTGTGAGGTGTTGTCCATTTTGGAAAAGACACTGACAATGCATTATTAACTTTTACTTTCACTTTCATTTTAAAGTTGTCAAATCAATTGTGACGTTACGTCTTGTTAACCTTTGTAACCCCATATGCACCGCATTTTATGTACTTCAGTATTTGTTTTCTATGTTTAAATTGTCCTGAAGACGCCACCTTAAGTGGCGAAACATGTAGACCATAATAAAGATTTTCCTTGCAGTAATCTACGATGTTGTTGTCTTTATGTAGCATTATTTTCCTGAGGTTTTAAGACAACCGCAGCATACCTCCGGGTATCCATCCTGATTACTCTCTACCAGCCTGTACCGTTAGAAGGTGTTGGTTCACTCGAGGCAACCTATTATTTTTTTGTGAACCCCTGCATCTAGACGATCCACCTTTGCCAAACCCGCGTTGTATTTGACAACCACACCGCATTGACAATATCGACCCCTTCCGAGATTGCCGAATTATTCTAGAAAGTCAACAAATGAACTGCTACCACTCAAGATCAAAAGAAGACCACCGCAAAACGTACTGAACCGCAGAACCGCACGATTATTGTTGAAATAAACTTGCAACATGGATAGTGTACCACAACCGCAAAATGTAACCAATTCACCACAACTTCCACCATGCCCTACATGTGCGACTACCATACATCTTACAACATTCCCGACGCAATTGGAAGTAGTACCTCTTTCCGAGTGAAGCCTTTTGGAATGGTACGGAATGTCCTGTGAGGTGTTGTCCATTTTGGAAAAGACACTGACAATGCATTATTAACTTTTACTTTCACTTTCATTTTAAAGTTGTCAAATCAATTGTGACGTTACGTCTTGTTAACCTTTGTAACCCCATATGCACCGCATTTTATGTACTTCAGTATTTGTTTTCTATGTTTAAATTGTCCTGAAGACGCCACCGTAAGTGGCGAAACATGTAGACCATAATAAAGATTTTCCTTGCAGTAATCTACGATGTTGTTGTCTTTATGTAGCATTATTTTCCTGAGGTTTTAAGACAACCGCAGCATACCTCCGGGTATCCATCCTGATTACTCTCTACCAGCCTGTACCGTTAGAAGGTGTTGGTTCACTCGAGGCAACCTTTAATAATAGATTAATTACCTATATGTATTGTTTATTTAAAAAAAAAACACAATACTGGTACAATACTGGAATACACTACTGGTACACAATTTTTATACCAGTGTTGTGCACAATACTGGTATACCAGTATTGCGATCACCAACTACAGGAGATCCCAAAAAGTATACTCTAACAACATATGGGGGCCCCGGTGGCCGAGTGGTCTAAGTAGTTACTACTGTAATCACTAGCCAGTCAACACTGCGGTTGTGAGTTCGAACCCCGCTCGTGCAGGTGCACTCGACTCCAATCTTAATTGACTAGGATTGTCAGTTTTCCCATCGAAGGTCGGTGGTTTTCTCCGGCACTCCGGCTTCCTCCACAAATAAAAACTGGCCGCCACGAAATAGCTGAAAAAAGCGTTGCTTAAAAGTGACGTTAAAACACCAAAAATCAATCAAATCTAATAACATATGCCCATATTGGTCACTCAATTTTTCCCAAATTAAGTTAAGATGAGGGGGTGGGGGGTCAGTGAAAAAAACTATGTGAATTAACTTAAGTTTTTTTATCCTACATTGAACTTTTGATGTCGTCCCTTACATAAGTACTTTGCTAACAAAAAATATCGCTGAAACAAAATTTCTTTTAATTTTCTTTAACGGCTACGCGTATGAGAATAGTATTTTGTTAAACAATTACAAATAGAGCTTTCATGTGGCTAGTTCTGAAAATGATAAAAAAAAATTTTTTATTTATGCTATTGTCCGCCATTAAAAGTAGTTATTTTGTCACGTTTTCACATTTACGTTTTTTTCTATGTCACAAACTTCAAAATACCAATTTATATTTATTTGTTAATAAGATGAATATATTTCTTACTACATTTGGTAAAAATAAAGTCGTAAAACTATTTAGGATCGTGTTAAATAACTTACCAAAATATTGTGATCCGTCAGCTGGGAAATGTCAAAATAAGTGCCCTTTGAGGTGCCTCTTTATCTGGACCTTTCCATTAAACGAATCGAGATAGAGTCATGGGAAATTAACTTATTCTACAGACAAGAAACCAGTTCATCCGGAAGTCATTTAGATAATGCGGAAGTTTACATTAGAAACCAATCAGCCAATGGAATGTTGAAATGGGACAGGATTTGACATATTTTTCAGTCACAGAATCCCAACCCGTCTCAAAATACACTAACCCTAAAAAGAAAAATTGGATTACGCTTCATGCTGTATCGACAGAGTGTATGAATACCATCTGACAAGATTTCCTCACGCACTATCATTTTATCCTTCAGTTTGCAGTTCTCCCTTACCTATGGGACAGTATGCCAGTAATTTCACTGTTCCTGACAAGGATGCTGTCACCAAGCACACCAATCCTAAAAAAGCTAACTGGATAACAGTACATGCTGTTTCATCAGAATGTATGATTTTAACATTTGTTGCACAAAAGGGCACTTATAACATGATGCTGTCTGGTAGTCAATACACCTTATCGCTATTTAGTCCAATCCGGGAATAAACAATCATTTAGACAACTTCCTGTTTGGGTCAACAGGTTAAAATCAAAGGTCATCAGTAACGAGCTGAGAGAGGGAAAAATTTAGAAAGCGATCAATATAGGAAACTTTGATAGATTATGATCCACTTTTTCGAAACTCAAATTATAATAAAAAAAATATTTTGTTTGAAGTATTTACGATGTTTTAAACAGGTCTCATTAAAAAGTATCATGCATGGCGCATTGTTTAAACAGGGCCCCAGATAGCTTCAACTGGATGAAAAAGTTGTGTAATTTTAGAACTTATCCGGAATGGAATAAATAGTGATTAGGTGTATTAACCTGTCTAAGACTTTTTATAGAGAATTCCCAGTGCTGTTGTCAAAAGTTTCGATAATAATAGTACCTTCTGCTTCATTGAAAACTCAGTTCTATGAAAATCAACCCAAAATTCAACAAAACGTTGGCTAAGAGACTGTTTTTATTTGAAACAAAGTAACCATTTTTGGTAAAACAGCCCATACATAGATATTGCTATTATAAAACAAATTCTGTTGATATTTCAACAGAAATTTTCCTTTCATTTAAAACATTCAACCAAAATGGTGAAATTTGATATAGTGAACTGATATTTCTTTGGAATGAACATATACGTAGAGTAATAGTTTTGGTGTGTATATTACAAAAGAAAATATGCAGTAAACCCTGGCAGTCAACTAGAAAATTCCATTAAAAATTATTGACCTTCATCTAATACATATATTATCAGTTTTGACTGATTATGTCACTCCAAAAAACCTTCACAATTTGAAAGCACAATCCTTGTAATAAAAATAAATACAGTCATATCAATGTCAACGAAAAGCACAATAATGATATATCTGTTTCATTTTTGTTTTATTGGTATAGAATGGAAGACGGTCTCACTAATTAGCAACAAGAAGAAAAAAATTAGCGACAAGAAGAAAAATATTAGCGACAAGAATAAAAAATTAGCGACAAGAAAGATAATATACTATCAATAAAATAAATTTATTAAAAAAAGTCAAATAGATACAGGTTATTATAATTGTTTGATAAACTTTCAAATGTTGTTGCATTTGGTAGCTATGCCGTCTTGTAGTGAATTTTTATTAAAAAAGAATATTTTAAAGTAATTATGAATCTGGACATTTTGTTACAATCCCAGAATCACAATGGTGTCACAACAGTGAAGTAATCTTGATAAATAAATTATGTAATTAAAAGCACATGGCAATTACTCTAAATATAAGAGCATACAGGATGAGCAAATCCTTCCATCATCTGATGCATGATACTACATGTAAGTGTCAATAAAGTAGGGCTTAAAAATTAAAGAATAAATTTGTTTTCTTGTCGCTAAATTATTCTTTTTGTCGCTAATTAGTGAGACCCAATGGAAGATATAACATAATGCATAAGCATCCATTTCAAATTAGAATTATCTTTATTTTCACGTATTGAAGATTTGAAGTTATATATATTATATAATATGCCAAATATACCCAAATATATGTGGAGGTCTTTATATGCTTCTAACAAAATTGACATAAACAAAAATTTTAAGCAGGGGGATTCACTAGATGTGCAGATTGATTAGACTCGGCTGTATACTCATATATATAAAAAAGAAGATGCGGTATGATTGCCAATAAGACAACTCTCCACAAGAGACCAAATGACACAGAAATTAACAACTATAGGTCACCGTATGGCCTTCAACAATGAGCAAAGCCCATACCGCACAGTCAGCTATAAAAGGCCCCGAAATGACAATGTAAAACAATTCAAACGAGAAAACTAACAGCCTAATTTATGTACAAAAAATGGAGGAAAAACAAATACGTAACACATAAACAAACGATAACCACTGAATTACAGGCTCCTGACTTTGGACAGGCACATACATACAGAATGTGGCGGGGTTAAACATGTTAGCGGGATCCCAACCCTCCCCTAACCTGGGACAGTGGTGTAGCAGTACAACATAAGAACGACTATAAAAATCAGTTGAAAGAGGCTTAACTCATCAGATGGATAAAAATACAAATACTACAATTACAAGTGGTTGTGGCCGGGTACTTGTACATCCAAACAACAAAAAGACATTAAGTACAGATCTGAGAGTACTCGCAGTTACTGACAGCTAGTTCAAAGCCACTAACAACTAATAAAAAAAATCATGCATCTAAGACTAAATTATCAATCCGTACACATCCAACATCCAATGGATTTAGTGTAAAGACGTCATAAACAGTCAGAGAAAAACATGACCTTGTGCAATGCCAAGATACAGGTATCGACAGATTGTAGATCCATGAATGTGTATATGTATATAATAATAATATTTAGTTTGCTTTTAATTTACTGATAACAAAATTAATATCAGTACATACCAATAAAAACACTGACTGGTTGAGATGGACTAACACATGAAGGGATTTAACTCTTCTCTGAGTATTTAACTATAACTTTTTGTTTCAGTGTTCCAGAGCTACCTATTGACTGAAAACTTTTGATCTTCATAACAATATGTCTCAACATTTAAGGTTAAAAAAAAAATATAGATGACAATTATAACTGATTCACCTGAGACAATATTAAATAAGTAGGATCCCCCTCTACTTCTAGGTGGAGTAGTTTTGTTTAAAACAAAAAATATGGTTCTTCAGGAAGAAATGTTTCCTTTTATATAGATTTGTGCAATTTTAAGAAAAAATACCCAGCTAATTTTTAATTTTTGTTTTACCCTTTCAAAATATTCCTCCAAATTGAGGGTGACTACTCATTTATTGAGTGGTTCCCATTTTGCAAATGTGTACTGGTTATTTGATTTTGTGTAGGTCATGTAAAATGACATTGACAAGTGTCATTAGGTAAATAATATTTGGAAAGGAAACCAAGGGACAGTTTTCAACCTACAATTTTGATACAAAATGAGGAAAAAGATAGAACATAACTGTTGAAATCATCATTTATTTACATGAGTGCAGAAGAAAATTACATTTGCTTATCACAGCATGAACCCTGAAAACCTTTGGACTTTATATCAAAAGATATACATATATAATTTAAGTTTTGTTTATTTTAAGAAGAAACAGACACTACCAACATTTTAAATATATATTTGATCAAAGTTGGAATTAAGAGTAACTTAATTCTCTTTGAATAATATAGTTCATTTAGCATTTGAGGGAACTTTTATTTAAATAGAGTATTAATACATAATACGTTTTGGAATGTTGGTCAGTAGTTACTTGGGGACACTCGCATGTCTAGGTTTTTAACCAATCAGCAATGGGGTTTCCCAGTAACTGCCTCATGTGCTTCTCGTTTACTAATTGTTTTTCGAGATCATACTAATTAACAAATGTCTGAGATTCATAGCTAATTTTGAATTAACCAATCAGTGCTTAATTAGCAGGGCTTCTGTTTTATGCAAACAGACTCAACTATTCCTGAAGCAATGCTTGCTTATGCAGCAGCCATTATTATTTTTCGGGGAAAATATTTTCTTCCCACCCTCCAACTCCCTTAAGGACATTTAATTTTATTTGCTAAAAGATGTATACGCATGTATAATACATATGTTTATTTGATAAGAAGCATCAACTTCACATATCTATTTGTATTGTTTAATTTAGTAGAGTAGTATTGTTCATAGAACTCACAGTTATGTACTTTTTGTTAGGAGTACCACAGTTTTTCAACTTGATTTTGCTTTCTTTGTAAATATGTTTATTGCTTTATTGATATGCAAAGAAAATATTAAACTGTGATTCTTTCTCCCAAACCTGTGTCTGATTACTTTATTCTTTATACTATAACCAGTTGGCATTTCTTGGTCCCTTAACTGAACTCTGTTAAGTGTAAATCAGGTGCCTTTATCTGCACTGTAACTCTTCAGCATTCGATCAGGGCACCAAAGACATAGCAGACTGGTTATTGGTACAACTGATATATATACAGCATAATAAGGGAGGATCTGGGTGGGACAGTGTTAAGAACTAATCAAGTAATAAGTTAAACTGATTAATTCGGAACATTTTAAGCAAAAGGTTGTTAGAACAAAGCAAGTGCAATGAAATAAAACTGAACAAATTGATCAATATATTTTCATTAGATAGTACATATGTAATTGAAAAAAAGAAATATATGTATTTACTGCTGAGTCAATCATGAAGCTTTGTTTTAAAGGTAATTTATAAAGGCAACACTAATGAAATGGACTACTTGCTGTGCTGTGTGAGCCAAGGCTCTGTGTTGAAGACCGTACTTTGACCTATAATGGTTTACTTTTATAAATTTTGACTTGGATGGAGAGTTGTCTCATTGGCACTCATACCACATCTTCTTATATCTATTTAGAATTTTTTTCATGTTTTTTATTTTACCTCTTCATACTGGCTAATTAGGGAACTTTTTTTTAGCCCATTGCTTAAGTAAAAGGTTGTTATTATGAAGATTATGATAGAGATAGAGAAACTCTTCAATTGTTGAAATGATCATAAATAGTAAGGTCTACAAATAAGTCAACATGATTGATATCATCAATTGACCTAATAATTAAAAAGATAAAAAAGTCATTGGACACTGTTCATAAGGAAGAGGATAGTGGAAATGTGTCCCTCACAATGCTATGCTAATTTTTTTCAATCTGTATTTCTAATTTGTCGCCATTTTACCTGGTGCTATCCAAAAATCCTGGGGAGAACAGTGAATTGACCCCAGAAAGGAGTTATTGCCTTTAAATGCTGGTTTTTTTCCTATTATTTGTCCTTCCTTATTTTAATGGAAACTATAGCAGATAGAGAAAAGCTGTAGCAAAAATAATCAGCAAAACAAAATCAGAATATGTTCACCTGTCGTACACTAGGGAGGTTTAGCTAGATGTTAAATCAGGTATATCCCACCATTTTTTATAGTTTTAGTTTTACTCATTTGAATTGTTTACATTTTGTCATGTCAGGGCCTCTTATAGCTGGATATTTGGTATTGATTTTCTCATTGTTGAAGGCCTTACAGTGACTTTCAATTGCATTATAAGTCATTTGAACTCTGGTGGATAGTTGTCTTATCATACAACATCTTTATTTTTATTGTCAAGGTGTTTTGTCAGTTCTTATGGACTAACCCTTTTTGAATATATAGCTTGGACTATGTCACTTACTTCATTCCGTAATTTTTTAATTTGTTATTTTTGAAATATATATATTTTGCCTTCAGGTTTATATAATGCGTTCATCCTATTTCGACTCTTCAAAATTCAAGAGTCTACCCTAAATTGAGGTAAATTATATGGCCTTCCAAATACCGTTTTGATTCCTAACTTCACTGAAGAGACATTAATTGTTGAAATCCGGAAATGGTGTACCAATTTTTGCACCTCATGTTTGCGGTATACCATCTTTTCCGCAAGTTTATTGTTTTCTGTTTGGTATTAAATTAATTATTAAGATCCATTTTGTAACATCTTGTGATCCATTTATTTGGCAATTGCCATGGCAGTCAGCAGGGTTTAAGAACATCCGTTGGTCGATGTGCTAGTCAAATGCATTTTGTTAAAATATACTCTTTCACCTTTTTGGTCTTTTGGAAATTGTTGTTTGTGCTGTATTTAGACCCCTCAACCAAGAAATTTGTTTTGCATGCACACGTATAAAAATTGCGGTTTTTATCCAACGCAATAGGTTTGAAGGTTGTTTTCAATTTAGACTTGTATATATATATATATTAATTAAAATTTGGCAAATGGTTTTAATAGAGTCTGATGCTGTCATTTATTTTCTAATAGTGAGCATAGCAGAAGTAGAGAGACTTTGGTTTAGATTTCAGCAATTGGGATGTAATGAAAATGGTGAAATACCTGAGGCAGATTTACAGTCTTTAGCAATACAAGATGATGCTTTTTCAAGAAATGTAAGTCTTTATTCTAAATATCAAGGTTATCATGGAATACAGAAAATAAAAATGTTCTGCAAACAAGGATCCAGTTCACTCCAAAAATAAGTGGATTGATGCATATGTTTACATTGGTATTTGGAAGGCAATAACATATTGAAACAGTATAGGTGACATATTAACATATTTTTGGTCTTTAAATTTCAGTCTGTTACCATAAATAAATTACCGAAAAATTACCATTTTACACTAAAAATGCTTTCTTTAAAGATAATGACATGGCAATGCTTCCATGCTTAAATATTTGGGAGAAGAAAAAACACACCTTGAACTTAATTGAGAAAAGCTTGATATAAGCACTGTGGGGTTAATGAATGATCTTCTTATCTGTTCCTGTCATACTGTTTTGGGTTTGTTTGAATATGGTTAAACTGTATTATTTAGTACGTAACATGTATCACTTGTTAATTTTCTAAGTTTTCTATGATAAGTTTTGTTCACACTATGAAGAGAATATAAGAAATTCTTAGACAATGCAGTGCCGAAAGAAACAAAATAAAGCCTATACAACAAAAGAATTGTACACAAGTAAACATGAGTTCATGTGACATATTAAAACCAATACACAAAACAAATGAAATCCATATACATGTACAGCAAAAGAACATACATTCAGCAATTTCATAAAATTAGAGTTCAGGGTGATAACATTTTTTAAAGAAAATTTAAATATGTAGTAATATTGTAATTACTGTATTAGGGTGGGAAATGGATCCCCAACATATATAGGATAAAATTATAAGAACTGGTAACATGAACAATACAATGATGAATGACGATGAAATTTTCATGCTCATTTGACACTTCAACAATAGCAAAATGGTCATATTCCAAACCTCTTGTATGGTAGCAATAACAGACAAATCTCCAAATTGAACATATTTTAGAGAAGTAAATTCAATATACAATTGAAAAGAAAATAATGGGAAAATGTCAATTTTAGATATTAAAAAAGTTCATGGTGAATAAGAAAGTAACCTTTGAAAACTTTGTACGTGGATTAAAATGGTGTGAGTTAAGTACTGTAGATGAAAAACTTAGAGGTAAGAATTGCATGATAACAATAAATTTGCCTTTTTCTTATTGAATATGTAGTTTGAATTTATCAAATCGATAGACCTCTTTATACACATCTTTATTCTCATCACCAAATACATAGGTACAGAGAAGGTGTGTTTTGGTTGTTGCACGTTGGGGTTATATCCAACACCTTCCTCTCTCAAATGTGTGAGTAACATAATTAAATACGCCCCATATATTGATTTTCAAAGAGGTAAAGAAAAGAAAACTTTCATTGAATTCTACTTTTAAATTATAACTTATTTGTAAAGTACAATGTATTTGAATTGAAGTTCTGTATTAATAAGTATGGATAAAAATGTCACTTTGATTTGACATTACTGTTGAAATTTTTCTATCAAAGTATGAAATTAAGTTGGAATGTTACGTGAGTCTTCTTGACACTGTGAAGTTAACCATCAAAACTGGTGTAGCTAGTTATTTTAACTTCACATTTATCAGATCTATCTGACTAATTTATTTTGTTTTTTAACAAAGAGAAAGAAAAAATTTCTATGTTTAAATTGATATTATTAAGAGCCTTTGCATTGGCAGGGAGAGGACGTCACTAATGTTGTTATAACTTGAAGTATTTTTTTTCATTCAACCCCATATTTTCATAGGTACATGACCATACAAGAATTATATTCACCATCAAATTTAATTTGCCAATTATCATATATTAATTTTTGTTATTAAAATGAATTCAGGTTTATTTCGTATGTTGTATAATGCACAGCCAATACCAAAAGCCGTATTTACAAAGATTTTAGAAAGAGTTTATTCCAAGCCTCAAGATAAACAGGTTAGTATTAAAGATAAACCATGAATTACCAACCAAGCCATACAAAACCATAGGCATTTAATAGGGTGACCTATAGTTGCTTACATCCTCTTCCTTTGGTCCTTATTGCATGATGAAAATAACTTTATTTATTTTTTTTACGTCGGAATCACTTTTATTTTGATTAACCATCACCTGGAACACTGTACACAAACATTTGAAAGCCAGGTATGTATAAATACATAGAAACTTTAGGAGCTACATGATCAAAAGGGACCTAAAATGAATAGCCAAATTCATCAAAATTATATATTATTATATTAGATTGAAGCCTTTGGAACTCTTCCATTTTTGTAACTACCTTAAAATTGTCTTATCTTGATATAAAATTGAGAATGGAAATGGGGAATGTGTCAAAGAGACAACAACCCAACTATAGAGCAGACAACAGCCGAAGGCCACCAATGGGTCTTCAATGCAGCGAGAAACTCCCGCACCCGAAATACTTAACACTGTACATTAAGAAAACAATCAATCAATTCATTCGTTCATGACCAGTCTTGATTACAGAACACTCTCTTGAATCTTGTTCAGTTTTGAAGTTCTCAGGATAAGGTATCAATTTTTTATAGAAAGAAGATGAAACATTGAATTTTATATATGTTTCTTTTTTTGTAAATTTTTTTGGGGTGCATTGTTCACTAAAACTAATTGTTTGAATTGATAAACATTCCCTACTAATTTAACCTAAATATTCTGAATAAGTAAGAGCTTATACCGTAAAGGACAAATAAATTAAGGAATTTTTCAATTTTCACAGAGGAAGAAAAAATACTGCCACTATATTATTGATTGAAAAATTGGAAAAATTAGCATCTTAAAGCAATTGACAGATTCCAACGTTATACTAATGTTACATTAAAAGCAATTTTCATTAACATTTGTCTATGCGGATTCTTGCATATACATTTGTCTTCAGAGAGCTTAAGTGCTGTTCAGATGGTTTATAAAAGTGATTTTAAAAATTAGTTGTTGTTAAATTGAATATTACTCATGATCTATACACATGGATATCAAGAAATAAATACCAGGAATAGGTTATGCAGCTTCAGTCATTTATTTTAAAACTTTTCATAGATATAAGAAGATGTGGTATGAGTGCCAATGAGACAACTCTCCATCCAAGTCAAAATTTATAAAAGTAAACCATTATAGGTCAAAGTACGGTCTTCAACATGGAGCCTTGGCTCACACCGAACAGCAAGCTATAAAGGGCCCCAAAAATTACTAGAGTAAAACCATTCAAACAGGAAAACCAACAGTCTATTAATCTATATAAAAAACGAGAAACACTTATGAACCATATCAACAAACGACAACCACTGAACATCAGATTCCTGACTTAGGACAGGTGCAAACAAATGCAGCGGGTTTAAACGTTTTAATGGTACCAAACCTTCACCCTTATCTGAAACAATAAAGTAACATCACAACATAGAAAGACACACTATAAAATATCAATTGAAATGGCTTAACTCAATCAAAAGACATATTAACACCAGTGAACATACAGTGAACAAATAAATTTGATCTATGATACAATGTAAATACAAAATAAATAAACTAAGGGAAGAATAATTAAAGTAACATGTTATACCGCTGTGAAATGTTAAACAATTTAAGACAAACAATAAGCTTGAACAAAAATATCAGCCATTTGCAATTACTTTAAACACAGGTAAATGAAAATAATTTTGTTGTTAGGTATACATGTACAGTTCAAATGGAGAAAGGAAATATTTTTACAAAATAAATAATTTTGATGTTCATAGTACGAGGAAGTGAAAATTTATAGTAATACCAAACACTTATCAAAGCTGGTATATAGACCAGATATAACCCTGAATAAGTAAAAAAAGCATTACAATTAGTATCAACAGGTCAAATAAACAAGAAAGTACGATTTGAGAGTACTCACAGTTACTGACAGCTAGTTAAAAGCCAAAAACAATTAATAATAAAAAATCATGCATCAGAGACTAAAATCAACTAAAACACATCCCAGGGATTTAGTATTTTAACGTCATGGACAGTCAAAGAAGACATGACTTGTGCAATGCCAAAAATAAATGTATAGACAGGCAGTAGAATAGTTAGGAGTTAACCTCTTTATAGATCAAAATGAACGTGGGTGTGTCTTTATACATCCCGTTTGAAAAGAATACAAATTTAGTTTGTTTTAATTTGCTGATGACAAAATCGATATTAGTGCCAATGTAAACTATATTCAAAGATCTAATTACAACATTGGTAAGATAACCTTTACTTATAAGTTTGTTTAAAGGTTCGATGAGTTTATACGGATCACATAGTGATTTCTGCGCTTTAAGTACAATATTACCGTAAAATTTAGGATTTGAAATACCGTTTTTAATCAGTTTTCTACAGGTACAGCCAAATTTACTAATCAAATCTCTGTATTTATGAAAGAATTTAGTAAAAGTTTTACGTTATATATGGTAACAAAATCCCTGACTTAATAATTTACCAGTGATGCATTGATTACGTTCATTAAAATCTATGACATCACTACAAACACAGGCATAACGAACGAGTTGGGATATATAAACACTGTATGATGGAGCCAAAGGAACATCGCCGTCTAAAAAAGGAAAATTAACAATAGGGAATGAAAAGTCGTCTCTTTTGTCATAAATTTTAGTATGGAGTTTTCCTTTAGAGATTGAAATGTCCAAATCTAGAAAAGGACAAGTACTGCTGTTTATGTTAGATTTAGTTAAAGTAAGTTCTTTTGGGTAAATTTCGGTAGTATATTTAGAGAACTCTGGATTATTTAATGAAAAAATATCATCCTGATAACGGAAGGTATTGTTGAATGTATCAACCAAATGCAACAATGACGTGTCTTTACTGAGATTCATAGCAATACAGGAATAAATCTGCTATTAAAGGGGCGCAGTTAGTGCCCATAGGAATACCTACTACTTGTCTTACATTTTTAAATAGTTCATATAACAATTTAAACAGTTTATTATTTAATAACCAGCTGCAATAAGAAATAGGTATAATTGTTACAAAATAACTTTGTACATTAGAATACATTTAAACATACAAAATGATGAGGTTAAGGAAATATTACTACTATATGAATACAATCTATGAATGATCTAGGGTCAATACTGGATTTTTCTGAGCAGAGTCATATTTAAGCATAATAAACATATAACTGTATTCATTTTTTTTTTAATTTTATTTCAGAACATTGGTAAAACATGTGACACAATATACAAAATGATGGATCCCAAAAACTCAGGTAAATGTAAATGTACTGTGAGCACCACTAAACAAAATTGATTTGACATACACTTAATCTGTGTTTCTTATAAGTAAGAGAATTCACTCTGCTTTGATTCTTGACAAGTGAATGAATCATTAAACACAGACCACCAACAACTCAGTTTCAACCTATAGATAAAGATCAAATCTTACAAAAATTATGAAGAATGTCAAAGGTATATATCTACAGGGATATAAAGCCATTAATTAAGTAAAATATCTTTTGTGTTATTGGGTTGTTTTCTCATTGTAGACCCTATATCTCTTTTCATTTGAATTAAATATATCATAAAAAGTAGGTTACTCCTTCCAAGATCTGATATCATCAGATTGCATAATTTCTAATCATCTAAAGTCATGTCATGCATTGATTTGATCTTTTTAGCTTATCTGGCCCGAAGGGGCATGTGAGCTTTTCCCATCACTTGGGGTCCGTCGTCCATTAATTTTTACAAAGATCATCTCCTCTGAAACTACTGAGCCAAATTTAACCAAACTTATATGTTTTCAGGACAAATACAAGAAGATGGATTTGTGGCAGGATGTATGACTTTAGAAGAAGACATGCTAGAAAGTATATTAGATTTCCAGATCCTTCCTAATTACATGAAAGAAAAACTCCATCAAAATCTTCCAGAGGTAGAGTATGCTAACTTAAACCTTGTAGAATTCTGTCAAGTAAAGATTTAGTTGTTACATGTTTAACTGATTTTTAACAAATTTGAACTACAGTTTAAACCTCCTGGAAGGCAAAGTTGATGTTAATGGTTTTGAATTTTATTTTTTAGACCTGTTACTTAACTCCCCATATATGTTTATACATTTTATTACTTTCCTTACTTTTTTTGACTGAATTTTCCTGATGAAGATGAACTGACTAAATGACTTGAAAAAACAACAAATTTCATTTGTACAGATACTTAAATGTGAAATTCAAAACCATAAAAATTGGACGTTTTCATTTCCACCTAATGATATATTAATACAGTGAAATACTTGTATAATGTTCAGAAGAATTTATGAATATTCATGTTTGTATTTTTAGTCAAGACTCAAATATAGATAAGCAACAGTAAAAATGCGTAATTCAAACATAATTAATTTGTCATTTGGTTCTTCAGCATTTACATCAGTCAAAATGCAAAAAGAATCGTCAATTCTTACATAAAGGCACAGGTTTACTTTTTCGCAATGTCTCATTCTGTAGTTTTTAGAAACTATGATCCTTTCAGGCATGAACCTTTATATGTCAGAGGATTAATCTTTTGTAGTAAAAGTAAAATCAGTCACCAGGTTCTCTTTTTTAGCGGTTAATGAATTAAATGCAGATGGGGGACGCAATTTGCTATGGTTGTTTGAGGGCATTATGTTTTCTGGTCTATGCCTCCAACTGTTTGTTTGTTCGCCCTTTAGTCTGTCCCATAATAGGCTGAAGTTTTTGGTTAAGGTAGTTTACCATGAAGTTGTGGTCACATCAACTTGAAACTTAAAATTCATGTTCATTATGATGTGAACTTTTAAAATCATATACTGAATTATTGGGTTGACCCTTATTTCATAGTTCACTCAAAGTATAAAAAAGTGATAATGTGAAATAAGTACAGTACGGAACCTGATGTTCAGTGGTTGTCGTTTGTTGATGTGGTTCATAAGTGTTTCTCTTTTCTCGTTTTTTATATAGATTAGACCGTTGGTTTTCCTGTTTGAATGGTTTACACTAGTCATTTTTGGGGCCCTTTATAGCTGGCTGCTTGGTGTGAGCCAAGGCTCTGTGTTGAAGGCTGTACTTTGACCTATAATGGTTTACTTTTACAAATTGTGACTTGGATGGAGAGTTGTCTCATTGGCACTTATACCACATCTTATATTTATATTCTCAAGCGTAAGTTTTTGGTTAAGATGATTTACCATGAAGTTGTTGTCACATCAGCTTGAAACTAAGTACACTTGTTCATTGTTAGGGAAACTCTTAGACTTTATGTAATATCACAATTTTGACCCAGATTTCATGGTTCACTGAACATGGACTCATTACAGTGTGATTGGGGCATGGTATATCCTATGGACACATATTCTTGTCTATTATTGTTCTTACAAATGAGCTACTTAATATAGCTGAACTGAAGTTTGTATTTAAGTACACAAAGAGTTATGTAGGGATTTTAATTTGATTTTTTTTTAATAACAGTTCAGCAGTCAGACAAGCCAGAGAACCCCAGGAGGAGATATACCATCAGACGAAACACTAGAAGACATTGCTGCAAGAATTTACAATAAGGATTTAGAAAGATTGGCCAATAAACTTGGTCTTGTTAAGGATGATATTGATGAAATTAGAGATATATATAGTCAAAGGCAGGAACAGGTAAACATGAATTGGGTCAATAGTGAATTTGAAAAAGGATGTGAATTATGGATGCTTTGGTATAGATTCAAAGTTAGATCTATTAGTGCCAAGACCATAACAGTTTACCATCAATACATCTGATGAAAAATCTAAACAAGGGCCAATATAAAAATATTACTTCATGACCCTTTTATTAACTGGTCTAGTTATGCTGCATAATGCATGATATGGAACAATAATTTAAAATAGAAATAAGGAGATGTGGTATGATTGCCAACAAGACAACTAGCCACCACAAGATGAGGATGTAGACAACTATCCACCACAGGATGAGGATGTAGACAACTATCCACCACAGGATGAGGATGTAGACAACTATCCACCACAGGATGAGGATGTAGACAACGATCCACCACAGGACGAGGATGTAGACAACTATCCACCACAGGACGAGGATGTAGACAACTATCCACCACAGGACGAGGATGTAGACAACTATCCACCACAGGACGAGGATGTAGACAACTATCCACCACAGGACGAGGATGTAAACAACTATCCACCACAGGACGAGGAGGTAGACAACTATCCACCACAGGATGAGGATGTAAACAACTATCCACCACAGGATGAGGATGTAAACAACTATCCACCACAGGATGAGGATGTAGACAACAATCCACCACAGGATGAGGATGTAAACAACTATCCACCACAGGATGAGGAGGTAGACAACTATCCACCACAGGACGAGGATTTAAACAACTATAGGGCACTGTATGTCCTGAAACAATTAGTAAAACCAATACTGTAAAGTAAGTTATAAAAAGGCCCTAGCAATTCAAAATGTGAAAAAGTCCTGATCTATGTATAAAACAATAAATGAAAAACAATATGGCAAACAGCAACCAACAACAACAACTGAATTATAGGTTCCTAATTTGGGACAGGCACATAAAGAATATTGCGGGGTTAAACATCTTTGTAAGTGCTCAACTATCAATGGTGTTTTGGTCAATATTATTCACAGATTTTTTGAGACAATTTGTTACCATTATCAGTGAAACTCTTCTTGTCACAAAATTGAATGTCAATGAGGACTGGTTTAGATTTTATTTTGTTACCGGTAAATATTAAGAATGACATCTTTGTTTTCTTTGTCTTTTGGCATACTGAAGAAGGAGGTATGACAGATGTGACTTTTTCTAATGTGAAAAATGTGGCTGTTTTAGTAAATGTTTTTTTTTTTTTTTGTCATCCTTTTATTTTTATTTATTTGATAGAAATATTTTGCTTAAGTTCTAATTTTAAATCTTGTTGTTTTATTATTTATAACATATTTGAACAGTGGCTGTTACAAACTTTAAGTAATAAATAAGTTACCTATTTGGAGATTTTATTGTTGAGCCTGCGACTTCTGTCGCAGAATGCGAGAAATAGGGATAGTGATCCGCCGCTGTCGTGTTAACTAACTTCTTAAAAGCCTAATATTTCAGAAGGTAGAAGACCTGGATGCTTCATACTTTGTATATAGATGCCTTATGTTATGAAGTTTCTGTCTGTCATATGTCCATTGTCCTTGACCTCGTTTTCATGGTTCAGTGACTACTTGAAAAAAAAGTTAAGATTTTTTGTAATGTGAATTTCTCTCTTATTATGAGTAATAGGATAACTATATATGGTATGTAAGTTATGTGCGTACCTTGCAAGGTCCTCATGCCTGTCAGACAGTTTTCACTTGACCTCGACCTCATTCTATGGATCAGTGAACAAGGTTAAGTTTTCGTGGTCAAGTCCATATCTCAGACACTATAAGCAATAGGTCTACTATATTTGGTGTATGGAATAATTGTAAGGTGTACATGTCCAACTGGCAGTTGTCATCAGAACTTGACCTCATTTTCATGGTTCAGTGGTTAAAGTTAAGTTTTTGTGTTTTGGTCTTTTTTTCTAATACTGTATGCAATAGGTCAACTATATTTGGTGTATGGAAGCATTTTATGATGCACATGGCAGTCTGGCAGGTTTTTATTTGACCTTGACCTCGTTTTCACAGTTCATTGCTCCGTGTTATTATTAAAGTTTTTCTGTATTGGTCTGTTTTTTATAACTTTAAGCAATAGGTCAAATATATTTGGTGTATGGAATGATTGTAAGGTGTATGTGTCTGTCTGGCAGGTATCATCTGACCTTGACCTCATATTCATGGTTCATTGGTCAATGTTAAGTTTTCCTGGTTAAGTTTGTTTATTAGAAACTATCTGCAATATGTTAACTATATTTGATGCATGGAATGATTATAAGGTGTACAAGTCTGTCTAGCAGGGTTCATCTGACCTTTACCTCATTTTCATGTTCATTGGTCAATATAAAGTTTTCATGGTTTGGTCTGTTTCTTGTATATTATAAACAATGGTCAACTATATTCGGTGTATGGAATGATTGTAAGGTGTACATGTATTTCTGGCTTGGTTTATCTGACCTTGACCTCTTTTTCTTGCATCATGTTAAGTTTATGTGATACTTGTAGTAAAGCTTTATATTTAGGACTATCAACATAAAATCAATGGTCAATAAAGCATGTGAGACATTTTAGCGTGTGCACTCTTGTTGTAAAAAGGGTAAATCTATTTTTAAATTGATTAATTGTATTGTTAACTTTTTGTTTTGTCAACTATAATTTTGATAATGATATTAAGTAGTCCCTGGCTTATAAGATAAATTACAATTAGTTTGTTGCAATGTATTGTGTCCTTTCTATATTTCTGAATATAATTATCTGCTTCATATATAGTGATATAAAAACAAGAAAATGTGGTACGATTGCCAATGAAACAAGACTCTGACAGAGACCAAATGACATGATAGTTTATTTCATTTCACAAATAATAATAAAGAACAGTGATATTTAATAGTAAGTGATTGGAATGTTGCAGCAACTTATATCATTTTGACTGAGTTGATCTTTAGATAAAGAAATTTTCAATGACTTTCAGGAATATTTTCATTTGTATGTCCTATTTGAAAATCAAGGTATTTAATTTCTTGCTAAGATTACAATGAAAATGTATGCTGACTCTGGATGAAAAAAATATTTTTAGCTAGCTACACAGGGAATATTAATCTGTGATAAAAAAAAAATTAAAAAAATAAGCAATTAAAACTGATCAGGTCAGGCAAGTATTTTAGGGAAAGCTTATATTTTTACAGATGGAGTAGTCTCCCATTGGGGAACTCCTGCTCACAACAATAACTGAAAAATATGACAATTATAAAAGTTTACATTTTAACTTTTGACAGTAATATTCTACTTCAACAGGCAAAGGGACCAAATTTACTAATCTCACATTATGGAATCTGTCTAAAATTTACTATAATAAATGCATGTATTTAATTTTCAATTTACAGTAGGTATTGTCAAACTTTTTTAGCAGGTTTAGCAATTCAGGGGAGCTTTTCTGCTTAATGCTAGGTATCTTGCTGCAAATAATCGTCACTTAAATCAGCTGTTTTAAAGTTCACCTCATTGAAGTCATATACATCCATAAAATTTGTTAAAGTGTGCAGATGCATCTAGCCTGGCATCTTCAAAAGACTGGTCATGTGCCGTCAGATGTTCATAGTTCAGTGGCTTTGTTTAAAGTACTGATAGTAACTTTCATGTTTGAGTTCAGATTTCATATAATAAATGACCTACAACACAATCTTGGGGAAGGGATGCATCTATGGGAGTATAGCACAAAGAAGGTCACTTTAACCTACATTTTGAGCTTCACTTACTTATATTAATTTTAATGTCCAAGCTCAGATTTAAGATACTTAATGACCTACAATCATAACACTTGGTGGAAGGATGCATCTAGGAAAGTTAAGTAGCATTTCACAAAAAAGGTCACTCTGACCTAAATTTTATACTTCATTGACATTTTCCATTTTTTATCAGTTAAAAACTCAGATGTGAAGTATTATCTTGATAACTGTTTTTATTTTTGAATATTGGTTTTCAAGGCAATAAAGGGATGAGCCAAATTTTGAAAAATAATAACATGTGCCTACTTATTACAAGAATCATTCCCATATTTGAACGTTAGGTTTCACAATGCACAACAAATACTATAAGGTCATAAAGATTCTTCTTTGTTAGTCTGTCTTCCATCCAACTTTGTAAAACATTGTGTTGATCTTTATTCATCTGAAATCCACCAGAAACATGTAAAATTGGTGCATGTATTTTTACTTTTTTTTATTAAAAAATATGCATCTAATTATTTATTATTAATTCTTAATTGGTGTAATTTTTTTTTGCAGGCATATCAGATGCTTAAGAAGTGGAAACAGAGAGAAGGACAAGATGCTTATAGTTCAGTGTTAGAGAAAGCATTACGGTCATGTGGGATGGGAGATGCTGCTATGTTGTTAGGACCATAAAGTTATTATTGTTGTGGTCATTGTTTTGGGAGATCTTTAATTCTAAGCAATCGTTATTGATAATATTTCAAAAAAGACTGTAAAATCTCAAATTTATCGTGCTGATAACTTTACCAATTACACATTTATTTATTTTACCAGTTTCAAAGTACAACTATGTTTTACTGAATTAAAGTTTAAGTAAATCAAAGTTAAGGACAGATATAACATTAGTATTTGTTGTATATCTGTGGTACTGTAAATTCAGAAATTATTGCGTGCATTTATTATTGCGATTTTAGAGGAAGAGACAAAAATGCGAGATTAATTATTGCGAATTCAGAATCATCTGCATAAAGATATGTGTATAAGATTTCGGAATGCGAGTTCTTATTATTGCGTTACTCAACCAGTCACATTATTTGCATTAATAAAACCCTCGCAATAATTTCTGAATTTACAGTATCTTTATACATTTGTGGAATATAAATTTTATATACAAGTCTAATACAATTTATGTGTATTGATGGATAGTCTTGTTACATACTCTGTAACATTTTAAATTATTATGTATTACGTACTTGATTTGTAGCAATAAATCCAGCATTACATTTACAAAACTTAAAAAGCAATAGCTCTTAATTAAACCTACATAATATAATGAATCAACTTTACTCAAACCAGAGATGCTTGAATACATGAAATGAGATCAAACTATAGTATATTGAATTACTCCGTCCATTATGTGCATTGATATGACAGAATATTTATGTATTTTTTTAATAAAAATTCATTGAAAGATAAAATTGTTTATTTTGCTTGCAATGAGTGCCACAAGAGATGAAACATAGGTGTTTCTTTTCAGGTAGTTTTATTTAACCCAAATTAGTTTTTTAATTTTTCAACAGCAGATGTTTTCAGGGAAGACAAGACCTTTGATATTTGATATACTGTGCATTTGCATCAATGCATCTAAACTTCTAGTAGTTTATCAGTTACAATCAAGTATTTCATTTTAAAAAGAGGCAGAACACACCAAAGGGATATTCAAACTCATAAGTTGATGACAAACTGATGACGCCATGGCAACAAAAACCAAAAATCACCAAAAGACAAACAGTGAAGATATGATTGAAGCTTTAAATTTTCTCCTGGACAACATATATGTACGTTTCGGCGATAAAGTGTATCGACAAGTAGTAGGTATTCCTATGGGCATTAACTGCGCCCCTTTAAAATACAGATTTATTCCTGTATTGCTATGAATCTCAGTTTATGACCAAACTCAGTAAAGACACGTCATTGTTACATTTGGTTGATACATTCAACAATACCTTCCGTTATCTAGATGATATTTTTTCGTTAAATAATCCAGAGTTCTCTAAATATACTACCGAAATTTACCCAATAGAACTTACTTTAACTAAATCTAACATAAACAGCAGTAGTTGTCCTTTTCTGGATTTGGACATTTCAATCTCTAAAGGAAAACTCCATACGAAAATTTACGACAAATGAGTCGATTTTTCATTCCCTATTGTTAATTTTCCTTTTTTAGACGGCGATGTTCCTTTGGCTCCATCATACGGTGTTTATATATCCCAACTCGTTCGTTATGCCTGTGTTTGTAGTGATGTCATAGATTTTAATGAACGTAATCAATGCATCACTGGTAAATTATTAAGTCAGGGATTTTGTTACCATATATAACGTAAAACTTTTACTAAATTCTTTCATAAATACAGAGATTTGATTAGTAAATTTGGCTGTACCTGTAGAAAACTGATTAAAAACGGTATTTCAAATCCTAAATTTTACGGTAATATTGTACTTAAAGCGCAGAAATCACTATGTGATCCGTATAAACTCATCGAACCTTTAAACAAACTTATAAGTAAAGGTTATCTTACCAATGTTGTAATTAGATCTTTGAATATAGTTTACATTGGCACTAATATCGATTTTGTCATCAGCAAATTAAAACAAACTAAATTTGTATTCTTTTCAAACGGGATGTATAAAGACACACCCACGTTCATTTTGATCTATAAAGAGGTTAACTCCTAACTATTCTACTGCCTGTCTATACATTTATTTTTGGCATTGCACAAGTCATGTCTTCTTTGACTGTCCATGACGTTAAAATACTAAATCCCTGGGATGTGTTTTAGTTGATTTTAGTCTCTGATGCATGATTTTTTATTATTAATTGTTTTGGCTTTTAACTAGCTGTCAGTAACTGTGAGTACTCTCAAATCGTACTTTCTTGTTTATTTGACCTGTTGATACTAATTGTATTGCTTTTTTGTTATTTAATGTTATTCAGGGTTATATCTGGTCTATATACCAGCTTTGATAAGTGTTTGGTATTACTATAAATTTTCACTTCGTACTATGAACATCAAAATTATTTATTTTGTAAAAATATTTCCTTTCTCTATTGGAACTGTACACGTATACCTAACAACAAAATTATTTTCATTTACCTGTGTTTAAATTTATTGCAAATGGCTGATATTTTTGTTCGAGCATATTGTTTTTCTTTAATTGTTTAACATTTCATACCGATATAACATGTTACTTTAATTATTCTTCCCTTAGTTTATTTATTTTGTATTTACATTGTATCATAGGTCAAATTTATTTGTTCAGTGTATGTTCAATGGTGTTAATATGTCCTTTGATTGAGTTAAGCTATTTCAGTTGATATTTTATAGTGTGTCTTTCTATGTTGTGATGTTACTCTATTGTTTCAGAAAAAGGGTGAAGGTTTGGTACCATTAAAACGTTTAAACCCACTGCATTTGTTAGCACCTGTCCTAAGTCAGGAATCTGATGTTCAGTAGTTGTCATTTGTTGATGTGGTTCATAAGTGTTTCTCGTTTCTCGTTTTTTATATAGATTAGACCGTTGGTTTTCCCGTTTGAATGGTTTTACACTAGTAATTTTTGGGGCCCTTTATAGCTTACTGTTCGGTGTGAGCCAATGCTCCGTGTTGAAGACCGTACTGTGACCTATAATGGTTTACTTTTATAAATTTTGACTTGGATGGAGAGTTGTCTCATTGGCACTCATACCACATCTTCTTATATCTACAACATAGAAGACTTCACAACATGAACTCCACCAAAAATTCAGAGGTGATCTCAGGTGCCCCTGAAGGGTAGGCAGATCCTGCTCCACATGTGGCACTCGTCATGATGCTCGTGCAAGTAAAAACTTGGTGATAAGTTTTAAACGGTGATGTCACATCTGAGGAAAAGGTATAACTTGCATGTAAAGCCATTTAGTATTAAATGAAGCTGATGTGGTAGAGGTAGACAAAGAAAATATTCTTTATATAGTTTGTCTATAATTTTATAATTATATGACAGTTCTGTCTGGTGAAAGTGCATATCCAGTAGGATATTTTACAAGTTAATTGAGAAGGGTTGCCATTTTTACAATTTTTTTAATAGACCATTTTGTACTACTGTACATCATTAATGGACCAATTTTTTTTCTCATTCTTGCTGTGATATGTCAGTCACTGTTCACTTCTATAATTGGAAAGGGATAGTTTCTTACAAATATTTCATAACCTAAATTCCTGAGTGAGGTTGCATTTTTTGTAACTTAAAATTTGTAGCAGGACCTTGTTTGTTCCATAAACAGAACAATCAAAATAAATGTATAAAAGTAGATTTAATAACAAGCTGAATAAGTTTTTGTTTACAATGATGCATCTTTTCGTATATTCTATTAATCATGAGATTATCACCTCACATATGATCAGAAAAATGTCAGCCTCAAGACAGGATAAGGTAACCAATAAACACCCACCTTGTAACAAACCATGATCAATGTCAGCCTCAAGACAGGACAGGGGGTAACCAATAAACACCCACCTTGTAACAAACCATGATCAATGTCAGCCTCAAGACAGGACAGAGGTAACCAATAAACACCCACCTTGTAACAATCCATGATCAATGTCAGCCTCAAGACAGGACATGGGGTAACCAATAAACATCCACTTTGTAACAAACCATGATCAATGTCAGCAGAAAAGTTAAAAAGAAATGAAATTTTTAAAAGTTAACCTTGATAGAATCATTCAGCCATCCTCAATATTTCACCCGTATGAGTTTCATGATCGTTGTTCAATTTACTGTCAAGCTTTTGTCTGAAATCAGGGGACTTACAAATTTACCTGAATACAACCATTTGGTGTCCTAGTCCAGGCAAACAGTTCTCAGCATTAAATACAACAAATATATATATATTCTGATATAATTTTAATGACATAACCACAACTGAATCTCAGAAACATATTGCAACCTTTTATAATAATATACTACCATATAAAGCTGATTCACTGCTCCTTCTGAACAGCATAACATGCACAAATATATATTACAACTGACTTATTTCCTCTCCACCAATAAGTTTTCCATGCATAAAATACTTAAGTATCATTTAAACTTATGTCTGTATCAGTAATGATATCTCCTTGGCTTTGCCTAATTCCTTACTACCAAATTAAGAGGTGCAGTAATACACCAAAATTTTTATTTTTTGTTCTGCAGATAATATTTTATAATTATGAAAAAAATGTGAATGATTCAACTGTTTTGTGCATTATAACTTCTTTTTAACTTTTGTCTTTTTCTGGTTGTAACTTAACCAAAAATAGCCAGATGTAAACATATGTCATAACAATAACTTTGTCATGTAGAAAATATGTTTAAATCTGATAAAAAAAATGAAAAACCTTTCAGTTGATGTAAATATCAACCTGAGAAAATTTAATATCATGACATCCTGCTATGAATATTATTTATCAGCATCCTCCTAAAATATTTCAATATATATTGTCTTACAGCTACATTGTTACTAACTAAGGAATGTAAAATTTACATCAATTTGAACTATTCCTATCCTTGAACCTCATTTAAACCAAATATATCTATCGGTTCCATAAAATTCATGCATTTTTTAAATCAAAGGTTTTGATGTATAATTCATTGGTTTGATGGTTTTAGGCATTTTAGCTACAGGAAAAGTTAATTTTTGGTAAAGACTTATCCTGATGAGGCTTTCATTTTTCCATAAGTGATTCATTATACACAAAAGGCAACAGAACACCACACAATATACCCTGTAATTTAGTCCTTATGGGTGGCTGAGAGGAAATAATCTTTGAACACTCCATATATGGTAATATATTTGTCATGTGACTAGAGATTTGATTGTAACAAAACATTAAACAGCACTACACAATCACATGATAGAAAGGCACTACATAAAGTTCTAGTAATTATAATGTGTCATGGATTGTTCAACAATGAAAGCTATTCTAACACACTCGTATAGTTATAAATAACTTAATTCTGGTTTATAAAAATGATCTTTCTTTGAAAAATTTGAAAAATAAAGATATAAATTTCATCTATTAATGTAATGCCAGTGATCCACATATTAAGAGGCAATACCGTATAAATATACCATGAACTTGGATAGCATAGATTTTTTTTCTCTTAATCTCTAGAAACTAATGTTTCAATAGTTGTAAGTAAAATTCCAAATTTAATTGATAAGTGGCAAGAAATAATTCACCCTATTATGAGTCTGAGTATAAAATCATACAATAACTGGTGTCCAAGTTAACATAAGTTTGTAATTTGTGACTTTTGTTAAAATGTAGTATATGCTCAATTTATAAACATTAATAATATAAAAAGAAAAAGAAATTTTGAGAAGCCTTTGCAAAAAGGGATGTATGGTGAAAGTTAATCCTTACATCAAATAAAAAAAAATCCAAATATTGATTAAAAATGATTACATAAAAATTTGGTGTACATCTAAATTAAAAAAAACACAAAATATACAATTCAAAATTGGAATCATACAAAATATTTGATGGTTGACAAAATACTTATACATATCACAACATGCATAAATAATCTTACTCTTGACTCAATTATACGTTTAAAGAAGATAAACAATTGAATAACATAAGTATAACAGTTAAAAAGTTGTTATAAAATTATTCAGATACACTGAACTCCATGCATAATAACAATTTGTCTCAGTTAAATATAATTCCTTTAAAATCCCACAAAATTCAACAGTTCTTGCAAATTTACATAAGTTTTCTTGAAATATTTTAAATTCTTAACAAACTTTCATTATCATCATTAAAATGAACTCCTGTGGATTCATTTATTTTCGAGGGTACCAATTTTCGTGGATTGGGAAAACTTGTACTTTAGTGGATATTTGATTTTCGTGTTTTGCCAAAGTCTGAATACAAGCCTATAGAAAATTTAAACTTCGTTGAACATTTATATTCGTGGTTTGCCAATACCCGTGAATTCCATGAAAATTTGGTTTACCACGAAGAATAATGAATCCACAGTATGTTAAATTTGACTAAATCAAAACCAATGATTACACATACTGGCCAACTTTAATATAGAAAATATATAATACAGTAAGTCATTGACTATCTTTAAAAACTGATAATGTCAACTCGATCATAAATGCTTTAGAAATATACATTCGTAAATGCTATAGAAATGAGGTATGCCGAAAGTATCATTTACTTGAGGGCATTTCCAGCAGTATCAGGGGAGATAATAACATGCATATTTATTTAGGCTATTTTTTTTAAAGTATGCAGTTGAATGCAAATTGTCATGATGATGAAGAAACCACTTAAACATCACATGAACAAAATTGCTGAACATGTCACACTTTCTGCCATATTTTTCTATGGTTCTGGCCTGAATATCTGTGTAGTGATAATCACTTGTCCTACTATTTTTTATTTCTTGTTTTTTGTTGACATTTTGGAATAATCAACAAAGTAATAAGTAAATTCCTCCAAAATGATACTGAAAAACACGATATTGTCATGCAAAGTCTCATAAAACTTTTCCCAAACAATGTTAACCATCATGATTTTCACTTAGAAAACTGTTTGTTTTTCTTGTAAACCTTAAATATTTAATTAATCTCAATGTGGAATACAAGTGGTTTATATGCCCTTAATGAAAATATTTGTAATCCCAATAATAAAAACTTGCACTTTTATTATTCTGATTAATTCAATGAGATCAACATATAAAGATAATTGGCTACACTTTGTCTTTATTCATTTGTGGTACTTTTACATTAAGAGATCATCAGCCGGTTGTACGAACGTGTCATTAGTCTAATGAGTCATTACATCTTCATTAGCCTAATGCATCATAAAGGCTTAATGAAGACTTAATGAACCATTAGGCTAATGCCATGTTCGTACAACCAGCTGCAGATTGAGATCTTTTATGGATGATGTGGTTATAAAAATGGTATTTGTTTTATATTTAAAATAAGTTAAACACTTTAAGTGGCAGTAAGATGAAAGCTAGAGTGTTTTAGACAGACATAACCTCTCTATGACATAAACAAGTCTTGATATTTTTTTCAAAAACATAGTTATCTCATAAAATATCAATTTTGCTACATCATATCATTCTAGAATTTATACTACACACCAATGCAATCAAGAGTGAAATGTAGGTCATTCAAACCAAAATATTAACAGCTGACAAAAAAATTCCGCTATGAATTGTAGTTGCTGAGATCTGAACCTTATTACAAAACTTACCAATAGCAATTCATTTGTTGAATGAAGGCTTTCAACCTTTGTCACTTAACACAATGCATCAACTGACAAAGGGTAAATTTCTTATGATTGTAGTGGCTTAGATCTTAACCTTAACTAGGATGAAGGAACAAAACCTTCATCTCCTCCCAAACATTATTCTTACAAGTGAAAATATCAACAGGAAAGGTTTAGAATTCTAGACATTTGTATTTATAATAAAGTTTTCAATATGGTTAATATGACTTTCTTTTTTCAAAGATTAAATTCACAAAACACTCTAGAGACATTTCTACTTAATATATAAACAAACAATATATTTCATATAACATATAAGAAAGTACAAAATTGTTGGCAATTAACAAATTGAAACTAGGAAAGTTAACAAAAATATTGTGATAGAAAATATATAAACATTACTAGGATGAAAATGACTTGTAAGTTACATGGTCACAAAACAAACACAAAACACATACTATCATACTAAAGCTAGGATATAATCACAGATACGAAGGAATTGATCAAAATTAAGAAATAACAAATTCAAAAGGCCAGAAATAATTAACAAACCTATTTACCCACTAAAAGATGATTGGAGTCAATAAATAACAAACAGATAATTAATTTTTGTGGCCTAATGAGAATTAACAATGTAATTATTGAACTCTTTTGGCAATATTTATGTGCATTCTATACATTTGTACTTCCAAAAGAAGGATATTTGATTTTGCTATATTTTGGAGAGTGTAAAAGTAACATTTGTCAATTTTTCAATATTCATATGCAGTTCCACATGCTAGAGTTTTCTTTAAGAATTTCTTAACATTGAAAGCGTCCAACTTAAGTACCTGGTATCTTAAAAAGATATTTATTCTAACAAATTCTGAATTAACACCTCTCATTTTTTTCATTTCTTAAAAAGTTCATAGAACAAAATACAAATACTATCATGTTCTATTTAATCCTCTTGTACAGCATACATAGGGTCATAAGTTTATTGTGATTGGTGCTATTTATAAACTTGGACAGATTTTTTACTTGATAAGCTGAGTAAAGTTTCATGTTCCTATTTGTCAGGCCTTACAATATTTCATTACTTAAAAGAACAAAACTTCATATTTAAGCAGTGGCACAGACAACATTATAACCTATTTATAAGAATAGACTGCAGAAAATATATAAAACTATGCATAGCAGAAGCATCTAGTCATAAGTGAGCATAGCAGGAGAATATATCATAAGTATTAATAGCAGGAGCACCTATCATAAGTATTAATAGAAGGAGCACCTATCATAAGTATTAATAGCAGGAGCACCTATCATAAGTATTAATAGCAGGAGCACCTATCATAAGTATTATTAGCAGGAGCACCTATCATAAGTATTATTAGCAGGAGCACCTATCATAAGTATTATTAGCAGGAGAACCTATCATAAGTATTAATAGCAGGAGCAGGAATTCATTTGTAAAAACAGCAGGAAGTATGTACCACTTTTTGTAAAGTGCTTTTTGCAGGGGTTCAATTTTTACCTAATCTGTTTGAAGGGTGTTTTTTTCATACTCACAACAATGATCCTCATCTTCCTTAAAGATCCAATTTACACAAGGGGAAATTTTGCGATTTTTTTTCTTCATAGGGAAATTAGCCCAAAATTAACCCCTGAAGAAAATTCATTTCTACATAGCCTTTCGATTTGAAAGTAAACTGTCTTGGAGAATATATGTAAAAACAAAATAACATCATTCAATGTATTAACCTGAAACGTACTTCTCAACGCCTTAAGATATATTTGTACTCTAATAATTTTATTGCACTAGATACTGACCCGTACATAAATCATATGACTACTGGTTAGGGTTATAAGAGAAATATTCTGACATTATGAAGTAAAAATTTTACATTCAATTCTAAAGAGAGTAAACATAATAGTAAATTTAGCTTTTCTTTATATAGGGTCTCTAATAACGACAATTTCATTTATCTTAACATGTTCAAAGAAGACAAAGGTAGCTGCAACGAAAAAAAAAATTACATTTCATATATTTTAACAAATTTTCTATCTTCAGAAAATTCGGCAAATTTTATCATGTAAGTAAAACCAAAAACAATATGCAAGCTAGAAAACTGTAAAATCAGACAAAAGAAAGTGAAAAAATGATTCTTAGTATATACTCTTAATTTAAATAAAAATCAAAATATACTAATAGTTTAAAAATACCAACACATTTTAATTAATAAACATACAGTATCTTTCAAATCAATTATAAAACAAAGTATTTTGCAGTTAAGACATATTTGGTCAAAGCCAAAAAATTCAATAAATATATTATGCTTTTTGCAAATTAAAAAAAAAGGCAGGTGAAGATGAGACTAGTAAAAAATTTTTTTTGGCATAGAATCTTTGAGAGAGATAAATATTCTACCAAGAAACTGGCATCAAAGATCACAGCTACATTCAAAATACAAAAACAATCATATAGAAAGCAATACTGGAATGAAATTGACAAATATTGAGCTTGCCATCAATTTACATAAACTTGGATATATATTTCAATATGTGTGGATATAACAGATATCCTGCTGAATATATATTACCATAAAAGAGTGATTAATTTCATAAAGATTCTTAATACGTTAAATGAACAAACAAAAAGCAAAGCTGCTTCATTATTTTCTCTGAGCAAAATAAAATCTACCAATACATCTACAGACTTTGATGATAGGCAGTTGAGATTGCACATGGTTTCTACATGTATATAAAACAAAATTAATAAAATAAACTTTGGCAGTGCTTTAAAAAATACTTGAATACAATTTTCCATCTTTGGATTGTTTAAAATTTGGTTTTTAAAAATGTAAAGGAGTGGTTTCATTCATTCTTTATACATCCATCTAAAATTAATATTCTGCCTTTTGCTGGACATACATTGTTTACAAAGTTATTAATCATACAAAATAAATGCCAAATGCTTAAGATTGTGAAATGATGAGCTGTCCTTTATACATGTATTATACAATTTCAGTTAAAGAATGATATTCCATAAATAACTAACAAAATAGTTCACAATTGTTCTCACAAATTAAATTTCACTAACAAAATCAACTGTTTGGTCAGCTATTCCTTGGAAGATAACCTGCTTCTCTTATCCGCCTCTGTAACATTAGAAAACTAATTATTACACAATAAAAGTAAGCTTTATAAAGTATGTGTCTTCAGATTATAAAAAGACTTAATTTAATTTACATAATAGTAAGACTTTTTTACATTTCCCTTTTACAGGAATGTAATCATGATTTTAATCCATTTTTGCTACCATAAGTGACCTATTTCTTTTGTAAATAACATGGCCTCTGCCTCCTTTCTAGAATTACTATTTAACTTTAATTCTCATTGCTATTGATATCATTTGTGGCACTGAAGCAGAATATCTGAAGAGTTACAAATGCCTGTATAAAGCACATTCAGGACAGGGCAGTAATACATTATCATATTTGACCAAAGAAGGATTTCTACTGAATCTTTATAATCAAGATCTACAGTATTCAACTCAAGGGAAAGATCCTACATCTTGCAGTTATATCAGATATCTCAGCTGTGCTTTACTTATCATGAACTAAAAGGAGATGTTGGATATTTGTCAGAAAGACAACCATAAGTAGTCAAATAAGCCATCACTCTAAGCCCCTCTCTCTCCAAAGAATGTATGTTGATCTCTTGATGTCTTTGTTGTATTATTTCTCTGGATTACTGTCTTATTGATATTTACATCAAGATCTTCTTAATTCATATAAAAATGTAAGGTCAGTCGTTTCTGCAATGTACAGGCTATGATTTCTAGCATATCTTCATAATTAGCAACAATGTATGACATTAGTCTTCACAAATTGTGTACTGTACATATTTACAAATAACTATTAGTCTAGCAAATGTGCATTGATCCACATTCAAAATTGATATGTAAAACTAATCATGGTTGCAAGCAATTGGAAATTTAAAACCAGTTCACAAATGTCCCTGAAAAGTAATAATTGAAATCACTACATCTAAAAAGACATTGAGTATATTTCAAAGTAAACATAACCCAATAACAACATAGAAGCACGAAAGAAATTTTTCAGTGATATTCTATTTTCTTACCAATTTCCAGTTAATGAGCTGAACCCAGTCATTGGATTCTTGATCTGTGGATGAATACATGTAAAAAGTTCTCCATGCAAACACTAACCTAAAATATAGTTGAATATTCCTAAATGATTTTGCAATCTTCTGTATTAAATATATACTGTTGTTTCATCATTGTGTACTTGGATACTTCAGGGTGTTAAAATATCCATATCTACGGATATGAACGTAGATAACGAATTTATCCCCGTTCTTAGTCTAAATCTGGCGATTTTTAGAGAAATTCGACCACAAAGTTAAACGTGAAAGCAACGTTTTTTTTTCATTTTTTAAATATCTTTTATTGAAATTTGGGAATTTGACATATTTTTAACGGGGTGTAGGGTACTACCTTTGGTAGAACCCTACAGGTAGACATATATAAGACGTTTTTAAACTAGAGACAGAGAAACTGAAATGGGTCAAATTTGGCGCGCAATGTTGTGAGAGTTACATCATAAACGGTGTGACGTCAACGTGGGTCATTTGCATAGCTAGGTCAGTAGTACCATTCATTGACAATGTGGCTGCATAGTGACGATTTACTAAAATGTGTGCAAATAATCGATATAATAAGATAAAATCGTTAGTGGATTAAATATTTAATTATACAGACATCATGGAAAATCTACAGAATTCGATGTTTCATAAGGAACAACCATGGAACTAAGGAAAACACGCTTGAAATTCCCCGATGTAATGGGTAGCAACGTCCGGGGATATGGGTAAGCAACACCCAGGGGCTATGGGTTTTGTAACGATGTGCGTTAACCAATCAGAATCCTAGAAATATACTAAGCCGGGGATAATATTTTTTATGGATTAATATCAATTCACTCATTTACAGTTTGAAACATGATTAAAATGTTTGATTTACTTTCTGTTATGCAAAATGATTTATTTTGGCCCTTGCATCAGCTTATGGTTTTTTTTCCTGTTCATGACATTGCTGTATGAAATCTATTTGGACGTAAAGCAACTAATATAAGAGTCTAAGATTGATTGACTGATTGTTGGTGTTTAATGCCACTTTCAGCACTATTGGCTATTTCACGGCAGCCAGTTTTCATTGGAGGATGGAGGAGAACCCGGAGAGTTTCAGAAGGCATGATGACTTTATCATCAGATGTCTAAATGGTTATAATTTTTTGCTACCTTTTGAGTTACAGCAGATATTTTAACATACTATATTATTTAGAATTGCAGTGTGATAAACTAATGCATTTCCATATCACTGTGTATTCTGTCTCAAGGATGAACATTCCCCTTGTTACTAAAACATGTGAATAAAACTACCAACCTGAATACATTAAATTTTCCTTTAATACTGGAGTCTCTTTCACACTCTTTACATTCATGTAAATCTACAGATCGTATAGGATGCTTGTCGAATTTGTCCTTAAAATACCTCAATTCATTCTTCTGAAGAACAAACCATCTAATTCTCCATGTCTGAAGTATCAAATATTATTTGTCAAGTCAAGTTTTTTTCCTCATTATAACTTTATTATGCAATATATTAAATTTCTGCCAAATTAATTTCTTGTCTTTCATAATTTTGTGGCCCTCAATGCTCCACAACTTAGTATTTTATTTGGCATTTAAATTTTTTTTCTTCAAGCATCACTGATGAGTCTCCCTTTGTAGATGAAACAGGAGTCTGGCATACAAAATTAAAAGCCTGGTATCTTTGATGATTTGTTTCTAAAGGTATATTAGATATTCTAAGCCATTAAGGTAATGAGAAATGCCCAGGTAAATGGTAGAATGTGTTTGACAAATCTAGATAAGAACAGTGTGGTCTCTGGTGGACAGTTGTCTCACTGGCAATCATACAACATCTTATTTCTATCTAAAGAAAGATTCCTTTTATAGTGTTCTCTCCAGAAATTTTGGATAGCATCACATTTGGGGTAAATAAATAAATAGTATTTTTTTTCAATGTCAGTTGTTGCGTCACGACGATGCTGTATTTTCTTTTTGTAATGTTTACCTTATTTTAAGTATATGTTAACTTATATGTGTGCAAATGTGTCTATATGTCTATATTAAGAATAAAATAGTAAGTTCTTTTACTTTATACTTAAATAATAATAATTATAAACACATGGTAACAGGGCTCACACTACTTCAGAATCATAGGGAGAAGTGACCTTCTTTTTGAAACTGATAGGGAGAAGTGGTGAGACTCAAAAGATAAGTGCTTGTTCACTCACTTGAATGTTGGGTTTTTACAATAATGTAAAGGGCCATGTCCTATTCATTTAATTATTCTTTATATTGTTCAATTCATACCCGAGAATACAATTAAAGTATAACAGTTGTTTCATTTTATGTCTTAAATATTCATTTATAGTTACACATTTATATTTTTCCTCTTGTCAGAAACTACCAACTAAATATCTAGCACAAAAAAAACTTTTTTATATCAAAAAGGAAAAGGAAGTATCATATTAATAAAAATTCAATTAAAAATTATTCTATTTATCATGTTAATGAAATTCATTGTTTCCTGTTGTTTCTCATTAAAAAGATATATATCTTTTTTAACAAAGTTAAGCAACTTTAATCAGTAAATTGAAACAATGCACATTGCACAAGTCATGTCTTCTTTGACTGTCCATGACGTTAATACTAAATCCCTGGGATGTGTTTTAGGTGATTTTAGTCTCTGATGCATGATTTTTTATTATTAATTGTTTTTGGCTTTTAACTAGCTGTCAGTAACTGCGAATACTCTCAAATCATGCTTTCTTGTTTATTTGACCTGTTGATACCAATTGTAATGCTTTTTTGTTATTTAATGTTATTCAGGGTTATATCTGGTCTATATACCAGCTTTGATAAGTGTTTGGTATTACTATAAATTTTCACTTCTTCGTACTTTGAACATCAAAATTATTTATTTTGTAAAAATATTTCCTTTCTCCATTTGAACTGTACAGGTATACCCAACAACAAAATTATTTTCATATACCTGTGTTTGAAGTTATTGCAATTGGCTGATATTTTTGTTCAAGCATATTGTTTTTCTTAAATTGTTTAACATTTCACAGCGGTAAAACATGTTACTTTAATTATTCTTCCCTTCGTTTATTTATTTTGTATTTACATTGTATCATAGATCAAATTTATTTGTTCAGTGTATGTTCAATGGTGTTAATATGTCTTTTGATTGAGTTAAGCCATTTCAATTGATATTTTATAGTGTGTCTTTCTATGTTGTGATGTTACACTTTTGTTTCAGATAAAGAGTGAAGGTTTGGTACCATTAAAACGTTTAAACCCGCTGCAATTGTTTGCACCTGTCCTAAGTCAGGAATCTGATAATCAGTAGTTGTCGTTTGTTGATGTGGTTCATAAGTGTTTCTTGTTTCTCTTTTTTTATATAGATTAGACCGTTGTTTTTCCTGTTTGAATGGTTTTACACTAGTAAATTTTGGGGCCCTTTATAGCTTGCTGTTCGGTGTGAGCCAAGGCTCCGTGTTGAAGACCGTACTTTGACCTATAATGGTTTACTTTTATAAATTTTGACTTGGATGGAGAGTTGTCTCATTGGCACTCATACCACATCTTCTTATATCTATTTACATAGAAATAAATACATTTAACAAGGAGATCTAACAAATAGTCTGTTAATGTATGTGGAATGGGTAATTTTCCCTTTTGGGATCATCATTCTTCTGTCAGCTGTCCCATTTGTGCTTCTGTAGTTATTATCGTAAGAACGCAGATTTCGGTCATAGCTGGTCCGCTTCCGATGAATCCCGCCTCCGATCCTGGTTTGTACAAATATTATAATGGCGGTCAAAGAAAAATTTACAAAAATAAATAATTTTTGACAAGCGATTTGGAATAAATATGACGCATTTAATGCAATAAATGGACGAAACATTAACTAAAGGCAATTTTCATCACTTTCTAATGAAGCAACAAACTTATTTTTGCCGAAATTCAGAGTGTTTAATGTACGCTCTCGGGCAACAATCATTGGAAGGGAATGATAATACTTCATAAAAAGTTGTTAGTTTGAAATAAGCTACAACCAATCTGTAAAGTCAATGCTTTCACCCCTTTTCTAAAGAAATAAATCATTTATACCTTTGAATTTCTTTACTTATAAATGAAAAATTGTTGTTTCATCGACCTGATAAAAATTGAGTAATTGTACAACTTGGTTTGGTCAACCAATTTGGCAACATCAAAGTACCCTGCGTAGTTTTTCTTTCTTAGGAGACGGTTCTGCCATGATGCAAATGTAGATTTTGAATTGTTAATGATTTCCATTTTCTCGATGTCCATATTTACACTTGTACCACATCTTATTAGTCATGTCATAAGTGCCAGCTTGGGGTATTCATATCCAACCAGTGGGCAATTAACACCTATCTAATCACTCTTAATTGCATCTATTGTCTGACTTGAAGGGATTACGATTATAGGTGATATAATTTTTATGATCACAAGCGATAATTAGATGAAAGTTAAAAAATTAGGACATCGATCGATTTTGCGGCAATGTATAGAGACAAGAAAAAATAGCATCTTCAAAATAATTATTAATTTAACGATAAAACGGCCTGGGAAGATCACTGTTTCATTTGAGGTTATTTTTTGTTAACTGACTAAAAAACCTGTCTTAATTAAATTCACAATTCCATGTAATCAAGCCTTAAAGATATCTAATTTAACATTGTCTCCATCTTTTTACTTGTCTGAAGCAGTATTTATCTTTTTATATTTTTTTTTTGTGTTTAAAGGTGTTGGAAAAGCACAATATCCACTTGCTTACCTTAAACACGCCTCCAAGTTTTGTAAGATATCCTTCTTTAGAATTAATCTACAAAAGAAATTATTTTACTGCACAGCACTTTAAGACTAAATTGCCTTTCATAAGATATTGATAGTTAACAAACATAACATGTGTCTATCTGAAATCAGAAATCTAGTCAGTGGTTAGAATTGTCTCACAATTTTGTCTAAGAATGTATTGATGTGCAAGATAGTTAGTCATCTTAGGAAAACAAAGAACTATGGTGTATGTTCTTGTAAATTGTTGAAAGCTTCTGAATGTCTATTTTCATTAATTTAAATAAAAATAAGATGTGGTAACATTGCCAATGAGACAACTCTCCACAAGAGACCAAATGACATAGAAGTTAACAACTATAGGTCATTGTATGGCCTTTAACAATGAGCAAAACCCTATCTGGGCTGTATCCTTGACATTTGCCCTTTTATTAATACCTAAATTTAAATGTTGTATCTATCAATTCCTTATCCACTATCAGGTAGGTTAATGATTGCATGTATAAAATATTTTAATACAAAAATATCTGTATCACCACTTTTTAAATCTTATTGGACGATGTCTGCCATCAATTTTAACAAGACTATCGTAGCCAAAGGCAACAACATTGTGCAAATCGCACTGGAGATTTCCAGGATATCACAAAAAATTTATTTTATTTACTAGTAATGCATTAGAACTGGAGATTTGACAGTAACAACTCTTCCAACACAATATTGTTATTCCTTATTTCAACTGTAGCTATCAACCATATATTATGGAAATAAAACCTATAAAGCCCACAGTTGCCACACGGTAATTTTTACTTAATACCATCAACATGTTTGCCACTTCAGGACCCAATGTGCTGTAGTTCCAAAAAACATTGCATTAAAAATTACTTACCTGCCCTATAATTCACTAATATTATAGAATCAATTCAAGCATGCTTGAACTAAAGCTAAATTTAAAAGTAAACCATTACTCGTAAAAACAGTTTTCTGTACTTTTTGAAGAGGAGACATAGTTTACATTGAGGAGGAACCTTTTCTTTTGCTACTAATGCTGGATAGTTTTCACCATGAAGGAACTTTTTCTTTTGATAATTATGCATGGGAGACATAGTTTTCACTATAAAGGAAGAACTTTTTCAGTTGGTAATTATGCAGGGGAAATAGTTCACACTGAGGTATTTTTACATTATGTGGTACTTACTGAGAATTCTGGACCTTTCAGATTTTCTGATGCTGTACTGAACTCAGCATGAACACGAATAGTATCATATACATTTGGTTCCTCTATATTGCGAGGATATGGGTAGTTGAGTAATGTCATTTGCCCTGAAAAAAAGTATTTTAAATATTTTATTCCAACTATCTTTAAATAAAACATAGAATGTTTCATAATTATTTCATAATATACATCAACTTTATTGAAAAAGTCAAACATAAAGGACAGATCTATTCTTTGGGACAACACAAACTTAAAAAAAAACCCAAATTAAAATGTATATAAAACTATCTTCTTTTGATGAGAAATTTATAAACTGTTTAACTGCCAATACAAAGTAAATTCATTATTTTGTAAATTATTTCACATTTCCTACTTGAACAAACCTATAAATTATGAGTCAAGATGACCTTTTTTTGGGCAGTACGATAATAAACAGCTTCATGTTAATGTAATAATGAAGGCAGATTGGTATAAAAAATATATTTCATAGGAAGCAGTAATATTTTTTATGCATTGTCAGGACGAGTTAGGTCATTCAGTAGGCAATAAAGATTAAAAGTAAGTAAAGGTAACATTCTGCTAAAAGAATGAGATAGTCCTATACACATTTAAATCTTTACTCAGGTGCATGTGGATTCACTCATACGTTAAACATAAATAAATTTCAAATTTTCATACCGGTTGCATACGAAAAAGGGTCGAAAAAAATATTCCCTTGAATTTGACAGTTGTAGGAAATTAATCCTATATTTCATTGCAGTAAAAAATTTATGAGTCATAAACATACATCTTGGGTGTTTCAAAGCACCATTGATTTTTTATTTGGTGTTTCTATAGAATATTTTGGAAACTTGAGGTTACATGGTTACTAAAGCTTGTACACAGGAAATAAACTGCTTCGCTGAGCGCAGCTGGATACGCCCGCAGAGGTCCAACCCTGAACAGTTGGGGCAAAAATGGACACAATATTCAAGCTTGATACAGGTCTGAATTTGGATTGTAATTAAATATTTGACATATTATAGGTTTCTGAATAATTGTAGTCAAAGAACTTGAAATTGGTTATATGAATTGAATTCATATTCAATTAAAGATTTCTTGCTGTTGTGCAATACACTGTGCTGTTGCGCAATACTTATTAAATCTGTTGTCAGACTATAAACAAATAAAGTTCAATTAATTCTCAATGTCATATTAGAAATTTATGAAAATGTAAAGGGAGCTTACATCAATAGATATAAACAATTCACCAAGGTTTCATGAGAATTGCTGACAGCATTTTTGAGTTATTGTCCTAAAACTGGAAAGTCCCCCCTTTTTTAATGAATAAAATCCCATAACTCAGAAATGATAAATGAAAAATTTATAAAATTCTAAACGGAGCTTACATCAATAGATATAAACAATTCACCAAAGTTTCATAAGAACTGCTGAAAGCATTTTTGATTTTTTGTCCGAAAACTGGAAAATCCCCCTTTTTTTATGAATAAAACCCTGTAACTCGGAAACGTAAAATCTAAAATATATAAAAATCGAAAGGGAGCTTATGTCAATAGATATAAACAATTCACCACAATTTCTTGCAAGTTGGTGAAAGCATACTTGAGTTATTGTCCAAAAACTGGAAAATCCCCCTTTTTTTAATGAATAAAACCCAATAACTCGGAAATGTAAAATCTAAAATTTATAAAAAACAAAAGGGAGCTCACGTCAATAGATATAATCAATTCACCAAAGTTTTATGCAAATTGGTTAAAGTATTTTTAAGTTAATGTCCGACATGTTGATGACGAACGGACAGACAGACGGACAACGGTATACCATAATACGTCCCGTTAATGGGCGTATAAAAAAGGGGTGAAAATTTGATTGGTTAACTTCCAGTGATGGTTATTTTTCTTATATGCAATGAAATGTTATGTGAAAATTTGTCTATAGTACTGGACAGGATAAAACTTTACTCATGCCAAGTATTTCTTTATTTGAAACAAAGATAAGTTCTGCACAATTTTTTGAAAAGTGCAAATTTAACAAAGACTAAGAGGGGAAAATCAATGGTGGTATTACACCTTCATATTTAAGTAAAATTATTAAAGAAATGGCATTTCAATTTGTACCAATACCAAATTACCTGATTCAGATCCGATTAAAGGTTTATTTGTGAAATGATGCAGTAATTCATCAACACTGCCGAACTCTCCATGACCAAACTTAAATACTGTTCCAGTCCATGTTAAAGGGAAATGTTTAACAGCCTGATCACATCTACAATCAAAAATATAAACTGAAGGTTCAAAACAATGGTTACAAACGTCTGGATATCATATCTGTATACTTTACAAAATAAATATCACATGAATATCATTTTTCAACTCTCTGAAATCTAAAAGGATGATCTGTAATGTGATTATGTTGGTTGCTATGTTATCTTTCCTGGTTGATCTGTCTGTTTATTAATGGTGCAGTTAATTGTTGTGACTAGTATTTTAGTTTTTCTCTCATTGCTCAAGAATTTAGCTTTAATAAGAGGTATTTTTTTATGGATACGTTTTACATTCAAACTTCATCAATCCATTGCTGGAGAAGACATGAATGAAGAGCTAGATGGGAAAAAAAAAGAAATTCAGGCCATTCTTTAGGAGGTGGTGACCAGTACTTTAACCATTATGTGCTACTGATAAGTACCACCTGAATTCAGGAATTTTTATAAGGTATTCATGGAATATATGTGAAAAGTACCACAACCAAATGGAAAAAGTGCCAGTCATTATGAAAGATAATGAAACCTCTGGGAATGAGCATATGAAAACAAACTTTTATTATTCTGTTTGTACATTCATTAAACTATTACATGTGCTGACAAAGCATGTATGTATAAGCCTCACCTTACTGAAGATACATTTATAACTTATAGCTTGGACTTGTAAGAGAGCAGGTACATAAAAAACTCAATGTACTGAACATGTATTACTAATAGTTTATACATTTCATAAAGCATGTATATATAAAACTCACTTTACTAACATTGGATAACTTAAATCTTGGATCTGTCAGAGAGCATGAACATATAAAGCTCACTTTACTGACACTGGATAACTTAAAGCTTGGATCTGTCAGAGAGCATGTACATATAAAGCTCACTTTACTGACACTGGATAACTTAAACCTTGGATCTGTCAGAGAGCATGTACATATAAAGCTCACTTTACTGACACTGGATAACTTAAAGCTTGGATCTGTCAGAGAGCACGAACATATAAAGCTCACTTTACTGACATTGGATAACTTAAAGCTTGGATCTGTCAGAGAGCATGAACATATAAAGCTCACTTTACTGACATTGGATAACTTAAAGCTTGGATCTGTCAGAGAGCAAGAACATATAAAACTCACTTTACTGACATTGGATAACTTAAAGCTTGGATCTGTCCGAGAGCATGTACATATAAAACTCACTTTACTGACATTGGATAACTTAAACCTTGGATCTGTCTGAGAGCATGTACATATAAAACTCACTTTACTGACATTGGATAACTTAAACCTTGGATCTGTCAGAGAGCATGTACATATAAAGCTCACTTTACTGACACTGGATAACTTAAAGCTTGGATCTGTCAGTGAGCATGAACATATAAAGCTCACTTTACTGACACTGGATAACTTAAACCTTGGATCTGTCAGAGAGCATGTACATATAAAACTCACTAAACTGACATTGGATAACTTTAACCTTGGATCTGTCAGGGATCATGTACATATAAAACTCACTTTACTGACATTGGATAACTTAAAGCTTGGACCTGTCAGAGAGCATGTACACATATAACTCATTTTACTAACACTTAGGGGCTGAGAAAAATAAAAAATTCACTCTTCTTTTGACAAAGTTGAGAAAATCAATAGTAAAACAATGCTGGTGACGATACTGATCAAAAGTTTTTTCTAAACAACAATCGTACATTTTAAATAAATTATTTGTTATACATGTACTGTGTTATTAGAAATATGCATGCAAAGGCACGATGTTTTAAGTTCATTATTTACAGAGATAATTGCATTAGAAGCTTGTGAAAATGAAATTTCAAAAATGTTAATCTTTGATACATACTGGAAAGAAAAATTGGAAAAAAAAATCATGTACATACAAAATTTAAAGATCTTTCTGTTTAAATGATTTCAGAGTGTTCCTAATAGTCCTTATTAGCATGATACAATTTCACATAATATACCTATTTTTCAGGTCTTAAAAATATAAAAATATATTCTTTTTGTGAACATTACAATTTAAATTCTTTTCTGTGAAGGTTAAAAAATTAAAGATTATTTTTATAAATTTAAAAGTAGGTTATCCATTTAAAATTTTTAATATTTTCTAAAACAATTTTAAGAAAAGGTTGTCTCGATTTCTGTACATGTATTTGCGGTCTTCTCAATCTATTCACATTCAATGTTTACATCGGTATAAGGTCCATTTGAATTAGCTTAGTAACTTAATTTCAAAAGTGTTAATCCTTGCTGCATATCAATCGATTCCATTGGAATTTTCCCCTGAACTTCTCAAATCTAGCTGCATACATATAAGGATACAATGTAATTGGCATGTTTCAGAGAGGTACAAATGTATCCAGCCAATAGAAATATAAAATGAAGTTGGTATTCCAGGTATTTATTCGCATAGCAACATTTTAAAACAGTTTACGCAAAGCTCGTATTGTCTGCTGTTCTCGTCTTTTGCTATTTTAGGAGGGAAATGATAAATTTATATGAAAATTTTGAATTTCAATTAATAGCCTACTTGCTAAAACGAGACAAACATTGAAAAGATAAAGCTTTCCGTTTACATGGGAGGTTATATTTTGTCACTAGATTTCCCACTGCACTGGATAACTTCAAGTTTGGATCTGTCAGAGAGCATGTACATATAACACTGGAAAACTTAAATAGTTGAGATCTCTCATTGTACAGGCACATATAACACTCACTTAGATAACACTGGAAAACTTAAAAGTTGATATCTCTCATTGTACAGGCACATATAACACTCACTTAGATAACACTGGAAAACTTAAAAGTTGAGATCTCTCATTGTACAGGCATATATAACACTCACTTAGATAACACTGGAAAACTTAAAAGTTGAGATCTCTCATTGTACAGGCACATATAACACTCACTTAGATAACACTGGAAAACTTAAAAGTTGAGATCTCTCATTGTACAGGCATATATAACACTCACTTAGATAACACTGGAAAACTTAAAAGTTGAGATCTCTCATTGTACAGGCACATATAACACTCACTAAGATAACACTGGAAAACTTAAAAGTTGAGATCTCTCATTGTACAGGCACATATAACACTCACTTTACTGACACTTGATAACTTAAATTTGAAATATCTCATAGAACAGGTAAATATAACACTCACTTTACTGACCCTTGATAACTTAAATTTGAAATATCTCATAGAACAGGTACATATAACACTCACTTTACTGACACTGGATAACTTAAAGTTGAGATCTCTCATAGAACAGGTACATATAACACTCACTTTACTGACAATGGATAACTTTAAAGTTGAGATCTCTCATAGAAAAGGTGTATATAACACTCACTTTACTGACACTGGATAACTTAAAGTTGAGATCTTTCATAGAACAGGTACATATAAAACTCACTTTACTGACACTGGACAACTTTAAAGTTGAGATCTCTCATAAAACAGGTACATATATCACTCACTTTACTAACATTGGATAACTTAAAGTTGAGATCTCTCATAGAACAGGTACATATAACACTCACTTTACTGACACTGGATAACTTTAAAGTTGAGATCTCTCATAGAACAGGTACATATATCACTCACTTTACTAACATTGGATAACTTAAAAGTTGAGATCTCTCATAGAACAGGTACATATAACACTCACTTTACTGACACTGGATAAAGGAGTAGGTCCGGTAAGGGTCGATTTTGGCCTCAAATTTTAGGTTCATATGACGAAGGATTTTGGACACTTTTTGAACACTAAAGTGTCTATTTCAGTTGATTCTATTAGTTTATGTGAAAGATTTTAACTGATTTAGTCATTAAAAACGCTCCGATTCAAGCTTAAATAAGAAAAATATATCAAATATGCCAAAAATGTCACTTTTCAGATGGTTTTTGTAAAAAATGAAAGTGGCTGCATCCGTGTTCATCCTCAACCTTTATATATGTTATGTATTATCATCAAATACAACTTACATTTCAATATTAAGAATGAACACAAATGCGGCCACTTTTATTTTAGACGGAAACCGTCAAAAATTTAACTAAAATGCTAAAATTGTGAAGATTTCAGTAATTTAGCCTGACTAAAGGATGCTAGTACCCGATATATGTGCATTGTATTGTCAAAAACAGCCCATATTTATGTAGCAGAAGCATTCTTCTTACCAATAAATAACTTAAAGTTTACATTTTAACAATTTTGTAAAACTGCTATATTTTGGGGCCAAAAAGGGGGTCTTACTGGACCTACTCCTTTAAAGTTGAGATCTCTCATAGAACAGGTACATATAACACTCACTTTACTGACACTGGATAACTTTAAAGTTGAGATCTCTCATAGAACAGGTACATATAACACTCACTTTACTGACAATGGAAAACTTAAAAGTTGAGATCTCTCATTGTACAGGCACATATAACACTCACTTTACTGACACTTGATAACTTAAATTTGAAATATCTCATAGAACAGGTAAATATAACACTCACTTAACTGACCCTTGATAACTTAAATTTGAAATATCTCATAGAACAGGTAAATATAACACTCACTTTACTGACACTGGATAACTTAAAGTTGAGACCTCTCATAGAACAGGTACATATAACACTCACTTTACTGACAATGGATAACTTTAAAGTTGAGATCTCTCATAGAAAAGGTGTATATAACACTCACTTTACTGACACTGGATAACTTAAAGTTGAGATCTCTCATAGAACAGGTACATATAACACTCACTTTACTGACACTGGATAACTTTAAAGTTGAGATCTCTCATAAAACAGGTACATATATCACTCACTTTACTAACATTGGATAACTTAAAGTTGAGATCTCTCATAGAACAGGTACATATAACACTCACTTTACTGACACTGGATAACTTTAAAGTTGAGATCTCTCATAGAACAGGTACATATATCACTCACTTTACTAACATTGGATAACTTAAAAGTTGAGATCTCTCATAGAACAGGTACAAATAACACTCACTTTACTGACACTGGATAAATTTAAAGTTGAGATCTCTCATAGAACAGGTACATATAACACTCACTTTACTGACACTTGATAACTTTAAAGTTGAGATCTCTCATGGAACAGGTACATATAACACTCACTTTACTGACACTGGATAACTTTAAAGTTGAGATCTCTCATAGAACAGGTACATATATCACTCACTTTACTAACATTGGATAACTTAAAGTTGAGATCTCTCATAGAACAGGTACATATAACACTCACTTTACTGACACTGGATAAATTTAAAGTTGAGATCTCTCATAGAACAGGTACATATATCACTCACTTTACTAACATTGGATAACTTAAAGTTGAGATCTCTCATAGAACAGGTACATATAACACTCACTTTACTGACAATGGATAACTTTAAAGTTGAGATCTCTCATAGAAAAGGTGTATATAACACTCACTTTACTGACACTTGATAACTTAAAGTTGAGATCTCTCATAGAACAGGTACATATAACACTCACTTTACTGACACTGGATAACTTTAAAGTTGAGATCTCTCATAGAACAGGTACATATAACACTCACTTTACTGACACTGGGTAACATAAAGCTTGGATCTGTCCGATATTTCATAGACTGTTTATGTATAAATCTTACATAACTGACAATGTGTAACTTAAGGTTTGATCTTTCGTAGAACATGTATGTATAAATCTCACCTAACTAACAATGTGTAACTTAGGGTTTGATCTTTCATAGAGCATGTATGTATAAATCTCACCTTACTGACAATGCATAATCTCCTAACTTAGAACTATCACGTAACATGTATGTTCCATCAACACCATTCTGTAGCAATAAACTCTCTGCAGTATGTCTGTCTACATTTGGATGATACCATCTAAAAAGAAAAATATCTATAACAATACCTCCATTTCATAATCTACATTTAAAAATCAAATGTTGTATGTAAGTTTTTTTCTTAAATGATACATGTATGAGGAAATCAGCCTTAATATGGATAAATCAGCATGTGCAATACTGATGAAATTGCTCTGTTAATATTAATACAGCATTTTTGGCCTGGTCCAATAAAGAAAATACATTCACTTTCGACAGCAATTTTTTATTATGCCTCACCAAATTTAGGACCTATTTTGATGCATAAGATACATTTTTTATCATTTTGTAACTTGATATAACATTTAAAAAAAGATTAAATTATGTTCAGTGTTTTTTACCATTTGAACGGAAATATTCCATAGCCTTTCTAAGTAGAAATTTTAATTAACATCACAGTTCCATTTCTGTACATAGATGACTTTTAAGAATAAGAATGACTAAAAGTCTGATTTATTCTTCCCAGCTAATTTATATGTGGTAGATAAAATAAATTGCATTAGCATAGATTAAGCACAACTTGGAAGAGCAATCAGAAATCTTATCAATATTGACAAAAATGCATCATAACTTGGAAAAGATAAGTTCAAATATGATTTCCCAAACCTGCTTCATGGTCAGTTCTTAGATCGAAAAATTAGAAACATTTAATAAAGTGTTATGAACTAGCTGTTTCTGTATTGCCCTGGTATGGATACTCGATAAGCTGTATTGGCCTTCAACTCTTCACGTCTCTGGCCAAATACAGCTAACATCTAATCTATACTAGGGCAAATACAGAAACAGCCACTTCATAACACTATATTCCTTGATAAAACTTTACTCAGTACTCGGAGTAAAAAATGTGTTCTCAAAACACTAAATCCAGTATTTTAATTGGTTGTATTCTGAGTCTGATTACGAAATTTTTATCACCACAATGATTACAATCATAAAACTTTGAATACTCAGACACAGAAATCAACCAGTCAAAAATACTGGATTCGGTGTTAGAGCACTTACTCTGACAGAGTAAAGTTTTATGACTGAAAGGCCATGTATACCATAGTTTAATGTCAAAATGGTTTAAAATGGAGTGAGACCCAGGTAAAGTTAGACCAACTACAAAAAGAGCCAGTCAAAGGTATACAATGGTTGCATGTCAAAAAGGTTTTAAAAGAAGTGAGACAAAGGTAAAGGTAGACCAACAACAAAAGGAGCCAGACCAAGGTAATGTTCAATTTACATAAACAAGATGTGATGTGTGAATCAGTCATCAATACAAGCTTGAAGATATTTATATCTTAAGGAGAGTATTTCTTAAAGTGTATCAAGGGAGACAACTCTTATATTGGTTGATTGGTGCTGAACGCCACTTTCAGCACTACTGTGCTATTTCGTGGCGGTCAGTTTTTATTAATGGAGGAAGCCAGAGTGTCCAGAGAGAACAACCGACCTTCAGTAGGAAAACTGACAATCCTAGTCAATTAAGATTGGAGTCGAGCGCACCTGCCACGTGCGGGATTCTAACTCACAACCTGTGTTGACAGTCTAGTGATACAGCAGTTCGACTACTTAGACCACTCAGTCACCGAGGCCCCCTCTTATATGTTAGTGCATACTGAAGATGGTGCTTAAATCTATTTTTCTTTTATGCAGAAATAAATATAGAAAACTTTGTATTAATTAACTGTGATAATGTTTTTTTTTTATAATATTAGCTTTCATTTTGTTTATATTTATCAACAGTATTCAAGGACAGTTCATTCTTTTGACTTCAAGTGAATGAAATTTACCTAGTAATCAAATTCAATAATAATTTATTTGAAAAGATTTTATATCTAATTGAAAGATACTTTGTAGAAATAGTATGCACGACTTTTAAGAGAAAAAAAATAGAAACAAATAAAGGAAATAGTTTTATTCAGTGTAATCTGCTTATAATAGTTCCTGCTTCATTTACATATACTACTTTTTCTTTAACCTGAAAAGGAGGAAAAAGAAACCAAAAGACAATGTCTGTTTCTTTCTTTCCATTTGACCTACTTTTGTGATAAGTGTAATAACTTTTTCAATGCATGAATATGACACAATTACTTACGGAAGGTCTTTGATTTTATTGGTCATACTTCTGTTTGCCATTTTACAAAGTCATTGTTGGTTTCTTTAAGTCATTTTGTAATCTGTAAAACAAATTCATAAACATTGTTTATAATAGCCGATAAGCAGTCAGATTAGAAATCCAGTGAGCACTTGCAAAAGACCAGTAAAAATCAGAATATCTAACACATTTCTTTCAAACAGTTGCTGAACAATGAAAGTGAACAATTGACATATCAGAGAAAGAAACTTACAAAATAGGTCCTTCAGATATTTAACACCTTTTCACTTTTCTATTAAATCCCTTCAGGTAAATTGAGGGTTTTCAGCAATCTTGGGCTTGTAAAATAGCCAAAAACAATCATCTTAGATCTTTCAAAAAGTATGCAAATTTTGTGTGCGATGCAATTTATTTTTTTAAAGATTTTTCATTTGAATATGCCAGTTGTGTGATGTACATGTATCATATTATTAAGATTTTTTTAAATACAGAACATTTTTGCTTGATTCAATATTTCTAACTTTATCATAATAAAGGAGATAACTCATATAATTTAATTTTACAAAAAATGTGCAATAAATTAAAAAACAAGCACTGGGACCCTTATTTTTTTTCTGAAAGCACATTATAAGAACTATCTTCTCATGTTTTATTTTACTAGTCTATTATTTAGTTTTTTTATCTATCCCACAAATTAAATTTTTTCCTGTATTGAAAAAAAAATGTGCGACCTTTTTGTAAACTACATTTTGGCAAAGCATAAAAAATCTATCATTTTTTTATTTAGATCCCAAATCTATCTTCAACACTACAAAAAGGCCCAATACAGATCAAAATAAGGCCCAATACAGATCAAAATTCCTAGTGGTCCTTCAGATACTTGTAATTCAATAAGGATCAAAGTAGTTCTCCAGTCCACAAGTCCCTACTTCACTGAACTTCAATAAGGATCAAAGTAGTTCTCCAGTCCACAAGTCCCTACTTCACTGAACTTCAATAAGGATCAAAGTAGTTCTCCAGTCCACAAGTCCCTACTTCACTGAACTTCAATAAGGATCAAAGTAGTTCTCCAGTCCACAAGTCCCTACTTCACTGAACTTCAATAAGGATCAAAGTAGTTCTCCATTCCACAAGTCCCTACTTCACTGAACTTCAATAAGGATCAAAGTAGTTCTCCAGTCCACAAGTCCCTACTTCACTGAACTTCAATAAGGATCAAAGTAGTTCTCCAGTCCACAAGTCCCTACTTCACTGAACTTCAATAAGGATCAAAGTAGTTCTCCAGTCCACAAGTCCCTACTTCACTGAACTTCAATAAGGATCAAAGTAGTTCTCCAGTCCACAAGTCCCTACTTCACTGAACTTCAATAAGGATCAAAGTAGTTCTCCAGTCCACAAGTCCCTACTTCACTGAACTTCAATAAGGATCAAAGTAGTTCTCCAGTCCACAAGTCCCTACTTCACTGATCTTCAATAAGGATCAAAGCAGTTCTCCAGTCCACAAGTCCCTACTTCACTGAACTTCAATAAGGATCAAAGCAGTTCTCCAGTCCACAAGTCCCTACTTCACTGAACTTCAATAAGGATCAAAGTAGTTCTCCAGTCCACAAGTCCCTACTTCACTGAACTTCAATAAGGATCAAAGTAGTTCTCCAGTCCACAAGTCCCTACTTCACTGAACTTCAATAAGGATCAAAGTAGTTCTCCAGTCCACAAGTCCCTACTTCACTGATCTTCAATAAGGATCAAAGTAGTTTTCCAGTCCACAAGTCCCTACTTCACTGAACTTCAATAAGGATCAAAGCAGTTCTCCAGTCCACAAGTCCCTACTTCACTGAACTTCAATAAGGATCAAAGTAGTTCTCCAGTCCACAAGTCCCTACTTCACTGAACTTCAATAAGGATCAAAGTAGTTCTCCAGTCCACAAGTCCCTACTTCACTGAACTTCAATAAGGATCAAAGTAGTTCTCCAGTCCACAAGTCCCTACTTCACTGAACTTCAATAAGGATCAAAGTAGTTCTCCAGTCCACAAGTCCCTACTTCACTGAACTTCAATAAGGATCAAAGTAGTTCTCCAGTCCACAAGTCCCTACTTCACTGAACTTCAATAAGGATCAAAGCAGTTCTCCAGTCCACAAGTCCCTACTTCACTGAACTTCAATAAGGATCAAAGTAGTTCTCCAGTCCACAAGTCCCTACTTCACTGAACTTCAATAAGGATCAAAGTAGTTCTCCAGTCCACAAGTCCCTACTTCACTGAACTTCAATAAGGATCAAAGTAGTTCTCCAGTCCACAAGTCCCTACTTCACTGAACTTCAATAAGGATCAAAGTAGTTCTCCAGTCCACAAGTCCCTACTTCACTGAACTAAGTCGAGTAAGGATCAGAATGCAAACAAATTAAAATCTTAGATACATGTACCTGCACATATGTACTTGTATTATCCTGTGATAGGATATTAACACTCCTAAAAGCAGTTTTGCAGAAAATTTAGTGTGCAAGGCTAAAACTTAAACAATACCAGTCTATGCCAAACACTTATTGGAGTAATAGCCCATAGGGCTAGTGGAATAAAAAAATTTGTAAGGGTTCCGCGGAACCCAGTGTCTCGCCTACTTTTGCTGTTAATCGCAGGCTCAACAAAAATGAGGAAAAAAAATATTCCATTAGATACTATCTTTTGATTGTAAGAAGCTTCTGTCAAAGTTTGGTATAAATCCAGGATAGTTTATGAATCTAATAAATGGTTTAAAAACTTTAACTGCAGACTGTATTTAATGTTAACTGGAAGAAAAACTAAGTCCATTTATAAGTAAAATACAGATAAACAGGTACAAATTTTAACAAAATTTCCTTCTAGATACTAGCTTTTGATCATAAACAAGCTTCTGTCCAAATTTGGTACAAATCCAGGATAGTTTAAGAAAGTTATTAAAATTTTAAAAACTTTAACCACAGAGTGAATGTATTGTTTCCTGGCAGAAAAACTAAGTCCATTTATAAGTAAAATAAGGAAAAAATGAAATTTTTTTTTTAACAAATTTACTTCTGGATACTATCTTATGATCATAAACAAGCTTCTGTCCAAGTTTGGTACAAATCCAGGATAGTTTAAAAAAGTTATTAAAATTTTAAAAACTTTAACCACAGAGTGAATGTATTGTTTCCTGGCAGAAAAACTAAGTCCATTTACAAGTAAAATACGGAAAAACAGGAATTTTATTTTTACAAAATTTACTTCTGGATACTATCTTATGATCATAAACAAGCTTCTGTCCAAGTTTGGTAGAAATCCAGGATAGTTCAAGAAAGTTATTAAAATTTCAAAAACTTTAACCACAGAGTGAATATTTGTGGACGCCGCCGACGACAACGACGACGGAATGTAGGATCGCTATGTCTCGCTTTTTCGACTAAAGTCGAAGGCTCGACAAAAACACTAGGCCGCAGTGATGTTGACTAGACCTGAAATAATTTGTGTCACCGGTGAGGATCACAAAGTGATCCAAACCTGCTAGGAGGGTTTGGGGGCATCCTCCCCCTTCAAGAAAATTTTGGAAAATTAGACGTAAAATCCTGCATTCTGAGGTTACATTTTTGTATTGGAAGTGAATATAACTTTTCAAAAAATATTGTTTTTTCTCCACGTCAGATGAAAAATTCTCCTTTCCTCAAATAAAAAATTAATTTAGTTCTTTTGACAAAAGTTTTTTTTTCATAAACTTGTACCATTTCAAGTAAAAAGACTCAGCTAAAAAAATCCACATTTTCAGCACTAGTAAACTATTACTCAACTGAGGGATTGTTACTTTTTTGGAGAAAAATTCCTTAATTGATGGGTGTCCCAAACCTGTTCAATCCTCATCAGGAACATAAATATACCGTTCCCAGTTCCTCTTAATATTAATTCTCTAGCTGGCACTTTATTAGGGTCTGGATGGGGGTCCTACATTTCTGTATTCTTCAAATTTTCTGCCATTTTTCGCAATTCCATTTATTTTAAAACCTCATATTTCTCTAAAAAATATTCTATATGTTTTTTGCCCATTAATGACATTATTCTCAATTTTTAAACTCCCCATCCACACCCTCCTTCATTGCCACTTTCGTTAATGTTGTTTAAAAAATATGCCTAGATCGTTTTTCTGCATAGCTTTTTTCAACTTGATACTTCTCCGGGTATACGTGTAGGCATTTTCAACATTTCAATGTTTTACCTGGGATAAGCCCCTTGTTTCCATTACAGCACTGAATGAGATCGAATCCTTGATTGTTTGTTTACATTGAGTGGTATTTATAGATAGTGTTTATTGCAAGCACATGGTTGAGCCTCGTTCTCAATTTCGTTGGTAAATAGGTATCTTGTTATGACTGGTTCCAATTGATTAGAAGTAACAAAACCCGTATATAAGAAAAATGGGGATACCTGTAAACGGATGAAAACAAGGTCAGTGACAAATTTGTAACTTGTTCTCATAGATTCAATAAAATACCGGCTTCAATTTCGCAAACGATTGCAGATGTTCACTAGACCAATCCGGCAATCACTAGTGCTTCTGCACAAGTCCGATGAGATTTTTACTAGACAGGGGCTTCAGGCTACTGCTTAACGTGGCAGACTGCAATACAAATTAATATGCAATCTAACAATAACACAAGTCACTTTTCAAAGGTCTTTCAGTTCTAATTTGTTATTGAGGGTGTCTTAATTAGTATTTTGATAACATAATTTTACAGGTAAAGTAAATGAATAACCATTAATAACTCAACATACATGTCAGACATAGTTAAAGTAAGTAAATAAGTAATTTTATTTAGAATTGGACAAGATATATACATGTACAAATTAAAATATTAAATATGATTCTGTAGAGCTCTTCACCGACTTGATAGTTCAAACAAATAACAATTAAAAGCACATTAGTTGATATGTCACTAAAAATGTGCAATTCTTTTGATCAAGTCTTGCAGGGAATCTCAAGTTAACCACGCTTGATATCAACACTTATTTATAAATAAGAAATCACATGATATCCAGCATTATCCAAGAATGCCACATCATTAACTCTTAAAAACTAATTTTATTTCTCCAGGGAAAAAAAAGACTTGTGTTTTCATGAAATGGAGTTTTGGACCTAGTTAAATGAGACAAAGGCTGATCAGTCAGGAGATTAAAACGAACCAAATCCTCCCCCCAGAAAATCAAAATGTGACGAGTATGGCTTTACTGGTCCTCAGGGACTCCTGGTATGGTGTAAATAAGCCTTGACAGACTTCAACTCACGACTCTTCTGGAAACCAAATCAGTATTTCGAAGGATATAAACATGTGATTTTTTCCTTAAAGATCCGTGTTGAACTGTTCCCACTTTCAACAAATAAACATAAAGAAATGAATCATTCAGCGAGGCGGTCCCTTCTCCTAAAACTTTACGAAACTGGAGTTTCGGTGATTATAAAGGTGTTATAAGATTGTTACAGACCTTTTACATAAACTAATTATGGTGTGTTGCCTCTTCAGAGTAAAACAAATGGACAATACTTTGTTTTTACGAAAGTTTGTTTTGTTCAATCAACAGGAAGTGTCATTACAGGGAGGTAATTTATTTGTCCCGCCAATTTTATCCAGAAAAAAAACGGGATAAATTATATTATCACAATTTCAAATAAAATTATCTCGATATTAGAAATCGGCACTGTGCATCATTCTAATTTTTTTAAATGGTTTGAAAATATAAGAAACAAAAGTTGCTATATTTATTTTTGGAATCAATGATCACTGAATTCGTTTCTAAGAAACAGCTTGTCAACAGTTTCTGGGACTATTATACCAGAGACATATAATACATGTATTATATGTCTCTGATTATACTAATCAGACAAAAAGGCCGACAAAAACAAACTGTGACAAGAAAAAATGTTAAACAGGAATGAGGACTAGCCGAAGGAAAGAGACTATAAAAAATTGGCAGTTATATTGTCGGTTGTCTAACGTATGGAACGAGGAGAGAGAAAATAACTGGAAAAAAAAGATAAAAAAAAACTTTGAAGGCAAGTGCCATGTAGTGGAATTTGTGAAAGAAAACTGGAACTCACATGTAAACTTACCTGTTTTATGATACATGTTCAATAGCTACATGTTTATACGGCGAGTGCTTTCTGCTTGTGCATTTTAGAATATGCCATTACCTCATTTCTTTGTTCTAAATTATTATTTATGTATTTATGTGACATTTTAAAGTGCTTATGATCCATGTTTTGTTTAATTTAATCTGGCGCTTATCTTAGTTTAAAAAAATATATGTGCTACTTTTTATGCTTATATTGTCACGAAATAGACGTTCCATCATAATATAAGTTCCAAGTGGAAACAATATTCTATTATTTCAACTGGAACAAATATTACAGTATTTGTTTCTTACAGAATAAAGATTATTGAATATATGTTCCAACAGGAACAGATATATTATGGCATAGTTTATAACAAAGTTTCCAGTGGATCTTCTGTTAGGCGAAACAAATATTCGTTGACAATATGTACTTGTCTTAGTTGAAACCTTAACGTATGATGTGATGACCATGTTTTGTATATATGTTATATAGTCGTTTGTAATTTGTAAGAGCTTTCTTAAGCTATTTTTTTTTTGTTGCTTGTACATATGTGCATACCCTAGATAAATTTTACTTACTTACTTAGTTACTTTGCCATCGAAAGATTGAGCTAGGCAGTCACAAAAAAAACGGGAATGCAAAAATGTAAAAGAACATCAGGGAACCATTTTCAGCCTAAAAATGTCGTAGTATGAAAACAAATTGGAATCTATATAACCAAATAAAACAGTACTAGGACAAGGAGCGTGTGTTTGACCAATACAGACCAATCCTGGCTGTATCCTGTAAAGACCGAAGTTATAGTTTATCAATCAAGATACTATTAGTACATGAAAATATGTTTTCTGTATTGACGTATAGGTATTACTTGTCATCGGATAAATGTATTGGTTCTACGCATTGAATACATGATAATATACCAAGAAACATGGGACCAATTAAAAAGAGGTAGAATTTACCAAGGGGACATTCAACACTCATAAATCGAAGAGAAAACGACAACGCTATGGAATAAAAAAAAGAAAAGGAAGAAAAGTCCACAAAACACTGCATAGAAAACTAAAGACTGAGCAACTCAAAGACTGGTACCTCAAGATTGGGATGTTTTTAGATTCTCTAAAAGAGCCACCAAGGACTGCCCCACATGTTACACCCGTCGTGTTACTCCTATAAAATAAGTCAGTCTCTATAAAAAGTAATGAGGCATAACGCAATCGCGGATTGGTCATTGACTCTTATTTTATCATAAGATATAACCAAATTCATAAACAATCGGTCATGTACATATTCTTACTCTAAAACTTGACGGAATGCAGGAGAAATACTTAACTGTGTAAACAAAACTACATAGGGGTGATCCCAGGCGCTCCGAAAGAGTAAACAGACCCTGCTCCACATATTGAACTGAATGTGTTACTAGTGTTGAGTAAAAATTGGTGGTAAGTCTCGTTCGGTAATAAATCGAGGAAAAGAGAACAGGAATATTGTTACGACAATTCTTCTTTTTATTCTTCCTCCAAATATTGCCCACATTCAACATGGTGAATATTCTGGCAAGTTGCGCATGATTTAAAAAAAAAACTGGTTAAAAATGAATTGTTGAGTTAATTAGTTAGAGGTGTTGGTCACTTGAGTCTTGGATATCTCAAGAGACTTTGCTGTGGCAATATCTGGAGGCAGTTTGTTCCAATCCTTGACGGCGTTTACGAAGAAGGACCATTTCTGTCCTGTTTGTGAAACTGTTTACTCGCGTAGTGGTATTAACCATATATGTGGATTCTAAAAAAACTTTAAAGAACTTCTGGATAATTTTAAATCTCGATCTTTGATTAGGGACTTTCCGTTTTGAATTTTCCTCGGAGTTCCGTATTTTTGTTATTTTACCTTTTCTCTGAAATTAATTCTATCAAAGCTTTTGATTTTTCAACCCTGTATTATATACCACCATTCCTCTTGTGAAATTGAAAAATCGTCTAAAAGAAATAATCCACAATGCAAAAATGGTAGCATACGCTATAACTTAGTTTGTTTGCTTTGGGATACCATACGGCATATTTTATTAATAGCAGAGACATATGTGTATATATGTCTCTGTTAATAGTGAGCAAAAAGGTAAACAAGTTGCTTTCTTTAAAAAAAGAAAAGCAATACGTGAACCTAAGACCGCTGACTGGTCACCAAAAGATTGTTGCTGAATTTTTTTGTTTGCTTTTGAATTGAAATAATTGACCGTGAATAGAAGGAGATAATGATGAAGTTAAACTACTTTTATTAAAAATATATAATAGTGTGTACATTCTTGCACAAGTCAGTTGAAAGCAATGTTGGATAGGTGTGAATAGAAAAGTGTATATACAGCTACTATTTGAATATACATTTTAAAACTCGACTATTTCATTTATTACTTGGGATTGTACATCATTTTTTATAATCCTATTGCAAATACCAGTTTCTACAAACCGGATATATAATGCAAATTGCACAAACCAATCGCAATATAAATTTAAGCACTCAGTTTGCTTTATAAACTGGATGCATTTATTTTATCTATCACATCTTTATATTTTGTTTCCTGCATGGATGCCTTCATATTCTCAACTCGTTATTGAAGTTGTCTGTACTCCCGGTAGATGTTGTACAGATAAATTTAAAGTCCATTTCCCATGTGAAGTGAAACCCTGTGGCATGCAACTTATAAGAAGGTTTCGTATATTTTTCTTGAGAGTAACACACCAGCTTCATTTGGACTTCTTATATAGAGACATATTTTGGTCTCATAAAATATCTCAAATTTTAAGGATTTCCTGATTTTACTTAAATCAATCCAAATATTTTACAAGGAAACTTGGTTTTGAAGAATATCTTATTTTCAGAAGGTTTATGAATACCTGAACATACTCCCAAAAGAACCAATTTATATAAAAAAAGACATGTAGATATAAAAAAAAATACCAGGATTAACATGTTGTACGCCAGACGCGAGTTAAGTCTACAAAGAATCATCAGTGATGCTCGAATAAAAATAGTTAAAAAGGCCAAATAAAGTACGAAGTTAAATAATCTATTCCTTGGGTAGAAAATCCTTGGTATTTCGAAAATGTCAAAGTTTTTAAAAGGACAGTGGTTCAAAAAAAGAAAAGGAAAGAGAAACAGCTAGAGGTCAGAATACCGTAAGCAATGATGACCGTGCTTGTAAGTCACATGGCAAGCTCTTATTGCCATGTCCTGAATTTAGATAAGAAAAGCGAAAATTCGCATTCGCGAGTGAAATTAATTTTTATGCATGAACGTGGTATTTTTGCGCAAGAAATAATAAATAGAAAGCATACGCACTGATACTCTGGATAAGAATACGCATTTGGGTCATCACATATATTAATCTGAAAGTTGAAATCTACCTACCTCAAGTGTTTTGACTCCGGATTCATTGACATTTTATCCGGAATTTTTGTGAACGCAAACCGATAGTGTGCGTGTGAACAAGGTGATGTATAATGTGAATGAATCAAGACGTGTAGGATAGCTGACCAACACAATGAATACAATTTTCAAAACCGTACCATAGTACAAATATTTAGATGCTATTTGGTTGAACTAATAAAAGAAAAAAAAAGAAAAAAAAGAATTAACATTATGATAGTAATTACATTTTGTTATGATTATTGTAAAATATTAATTACGTTTTTTGTGGGATGCAAGGATTTAAAATCCTTGTGAATTGAAACCACGCAAGTATTATTTCATTCACGACCGTTTAAAATTTAGATATCTAGCTAACTTTGGGTACGCATCCCTGCTCATTGGTGCTCATACGTTACATATAATTTTCATAAATGTAATGACTGATCAAACCTGTGAGACATAATGCACGTATACATTACAAGTTTAATTATATTCTATAATTATTAGGAATAAATTTGGTCTCAGTTTTACCTTAACAATGAATATTCTCTTAGTCTGGTAGAATCTATTAATGAAATTAGATATTTTTTTACAGAAAAATCCTTTTGTTTGATTATCTTTCTGCTTTCCGACCACTGTGTTTCCGATCTTAGATAAATATTTTTTAACAGAAATATCATTTTCTTAATTTTCTTCATTCTTTGCGACATTTTCTCATGCTATGATTGAAATACTAAATATCAAATGACAAACGTTCGGAAATAATCCGTTTATTCTGGGTCATTTTTGTATATCAATAAACTATTCCCAGGTTTATTAAATACAACACACACAACGCGTAGAGGGACCGTCTCAAAGAATGAATTATATAATTGCGTTATCATTATACTTGATATTTAATAAACATTCACATTATAAAAAACATATATGTTTTGTCAAAAGGTAAATAGGTTCTAACATATAAATGATTTTTAGAATGCAACCTAAAATTGAGAATGGAAATGGGGAATATGTCAAAGAGACAACAACCCGACCAAAGAGCAGACAACAGCCGAAGGCCACCAATGGGTCTTTAATGCAGCGAGAAAATCCCGCACCCGGAGGTGGTCCTCAGCTGGCCCCTAA